CGACGATTGAAAAAAGAGAAGCAATGGAGTCTGGGGGATGTCTGGCGGGTACCTGAAGGATGTCTGGGGGATGTCTGGGGGAGAAGCAATGGATCCGTGGTCGTCTGGACGATTGGACGTCTCTAAACGGGGCAGAGATGATTCGAAAATTGCTGCTTCCGACGCCTGTAACACCTTCTCCTCGCTTTTTACACTACTTATGAGAGTCGCGGCACTCGTGAGCTAAACTGAGACGTTCAGCGTCGCTGGTAAACCATGAAAAGAGGAGTGATAAAAGCCCTGAGATACTTGACAGTAACCAGAGACTATGCTGGAAAGGTGGTGATCAAGTGCGTAAAGACTATGTTGCGACAGGAGTCTTGATGACATGAAAAACTGGAACTTGGAATCTCTCAGTCCATCACCTTAGCCTCCCAACCCTCCGCGGAAACCCCTCAGCCCTCTGTGTCCCCTAAGCCTGGCCAAAACCTCGGATCGAGTCTATCGACGGAATTTGGGTGGAATTTCAGTGGGGGAAGTAACTGGCTGACGGGAGCGCGAAATGTACCCTGAAACAAGGGAGAACGAGGCGGGATTGCTGAAGAAGATCGGCTGATGTGGGAACGAATGAACGCGGTTAGTGCGTGCTGCTGAGACAATATACTGGCTGGAACTATGGCGGTGGGAGGAGATTAGGGTTCGAAAGGAAAGCAGAAACGGAAAGCAGAGAAACGAAATCTGGAGGGACGAAATGAAAAGTGTTGGCTTTTACGGGGAGTTTGGGAAAGGGAATGGAAGAGGTGGAGCCGAGAACACAGCAGGCAGAAGGGGAGTGCGAGCTTGTAAAGCAATCGTTATAGCGATAATGCACACTGTAGACAGGCTCATTCACATGACGAAGCTGTTTGTAGATTGCCTGACCAATTTCGGTTGTTCGAATGTAAGCAGCTTTGTCAGACCAGGGAAACCTGCCTGGAATTTGACGAAAGCTTGACCAGGCGCAGTCAGGACAGCCATCGAACCAGTCATAGGCGTTCCGAACTTCAGGCCTTGGCTCGGTTCGGCCACCCCAGATCTTTCCAAAGGTTATGGCCCAATCTGAACAAAGCACAGATGGCAATCTTTTCAACGTGAAACGAAAGCACATCGAGGCTTTCAGTAACGTAGTAGCCAGAAGGTCAAAGAGTCTCCACATGAGCGAAGACATCTTGAAGTGTTCGCGTGCCTTCGCTATTCTACCAATCGGCTCGGTAATGCAGTGAAGAGCCTGCTGATTAGTCAAGTTCAAGGCGTCTGACAGTGTAGTTCTGATCTCAAGCCTTACTCATAGAAGTTGTCGCAGGGTTTTATGTAGGACCTTCGGTCTTTCGTCTTTCGCAGCCTCCTAGGCTTTTAGTCTCTGTATGTGTCGGAAACCGATGTCGGCTTGCAGTCCTGCTTCGTGTCAGGAACTCGCGAATTCCCACAGATTCGCTCACCTAGACAATGCGTGCTAACGTTTCAGTCGGGTCCCGACCATCCTGGTCCCGCTCACACTCTCATCGGCCTACGCATACTTTGTTCCACTAATCCCGTGGAGAATCTTTCACCTGCAGCAGGGCCGCAGCAGCAGGAGCCGCAGCGTTAGGAGCAACAAAAATTCTTATCGTTTTCCCGCTTTGCCTCCACCTCCTTTTCTCTCACCATGCATTTTTTATGAAGGGCCTCAAAATTCCTTCCTCCAGCACCTCTTCCCCCACCATGCACACCTCAACCTCGCTCTCCTCACCTCTTCTCCCCTCCTCATCCTGCCCCTCTTCCTCCTCGCATCCCACCCGATCCTCCCGCTTTCGAATCCTTCCAATATCCTCGTTTCTCCGAGAACAGTCATCAGAATCATCACCAGGCCTCCATTCACACCCTCTGGTTCCCACGCGGCAACTATTTCTCTGCTGGCTATTCTCGTTCTTGCGCTGGTTCAAACCTTCCGAGCCCTTTCTCGTCGACTTCATGGTTTCGAAAGGCCTCTCCAATGCTGAAGTGTACCACAAAGTTTTCTCCGTCTGGGTTTTTTCGCAGCTGCCCGCGCTGCTGCTCGTCAGCCTCCTCTCGAAGCTCATTGGTTGCAAATCCACCGTCGTTCTCGGTGCTATTCTCGGATTCGCCACTACCGCACTGACCATAGCAGCTCCAACAATAACAAGTCCCGCCCATCCCCCCTCTTATTATTTCACTGACGCAGCCACAGCTACAGTCGCTGCCTCTGCTGCTACCCAAACACCAAACACCCTCCTTCCTCTCACCTTCCTTCAGACCAGTCAAGTGACCTTTGCTCTCTCCTTCGCCGCTCATTCCGCCTTCGCCGCACTCTCCCTAGCCTCTCTACCCCGTTCGCACTACACCCTTGCGTCCCACGGCAACCATGCTGCCACGCTGGCAGGATCCTGCCTCTCAGGCCTGCTCGGACGAATCATGGCGCGCCACGTGTCGCTTCTGGTGCTTTTCGTCGTTTCGCTGGTGTGTCAGTTTCTGTCTGTTGTTGTGGCTGTGCTGCTGCGGCCTGCTGCTGCTGATGCAGAGTTAGAGACAGAAAAAGGAGCAGAATCAAGGGCACTTGCAAGAGGAGAATCAAGGAGAGATTCTAGAAGCAGGTGGAGAGCAGAATCAGGAGCAGCATCAACAACAGGGGAAGAAGCAGCAGCAAGAGGGGAAAAAGGAGCAGACAGGAGATCAGAACAGGGGCACAAGCAGATAACCTCAGAGCGGTACCCATGCCTGGCTCTCCACCCTGTATCCTCTCTCCTCCGCTCTGTCCTAATCGCAGCAGCGTCAGTAGCAGCTGATGTGTGCCATGCGCTCACTGCCCCAACAGTGCTGAGCTGGTCCTGCTGGGCTGTACTAGCAAACAGCGTCCATCGCATGGTCATGACCTACTGGCTCTCTCTTGTCAAGGAGCTTGCAATGCATCAGCAACAGCCCGCGTCTCTGCAACTCATGCCTTCTCCGCTTGCTCCGGTCCCCTCTGTCGCCTCTTCGCTCTCGCAGTCACTCTCCTCTCCTGTATTCGGCGCTGCTGTCTCAACTGGTGCTTCACACGGGAGCTCTGACGGCCCTGCAGCAGGTCCAGGAGGGATGTCAGCAATTGCAGCAGCGGCCGTAACAGCAATAGCAGCTGTAGCAGCATCTGGGGCCAGGGGAGGTATAACTGGGCCAACATTACCCTCACCACCTTTACTCAATGCTCCAACTTTCCCTTTTTTCAAGCCACCGGTGGGAAATTTGACTGAGGGAACTTCTTGGATCCATGCAGCAGCTCCTGCATGGAAGCCAGCGTTTCTTGGGCTGCGTAGATCTACTGCGTTTGAATTTGGTTCTGCAAGAGTCAGTCTTGGTTTCGAGAGGCCTCAAGATGGTGGGCTTGAGGAGTTGCATCCAGGTATGCATCGCCGGATGCTGGTGTTTTCACTGACGGAGTCACAGGTGGTAGCAGCGCAGGCAGGGGTAGCAGCTGGAGGAGCAAGGGAGCGGACTCATGGCGAAGCGAGTGCATCCAGGTTATTGTTATCAGATACAGCAGCCACAGCAGCAGCAGCTGCAGTATCAGCAGCTGTATCAGCAGAAGCAACAGAAGACAGAGCAGAAGCAGCAGCAGGCAAAGCCAAAGTGGCAGCAGATGCAGAAGCAAATGGAGCAGAAGCAGCAGAAGGAGGAGCTGCCACAGGAATAGCAGCAGCAGCCACTCCCATAGCAGGAGCAGCAAAGTCAGAAGCTGTTTCAGATGCAACTAGCGCGTGCTACATCCTGATGAACCTGACAGCTGCTCTGGCCATTGTTGCTGCTGCATATATCCCAGTCAACTATGCCCACACACTCATCCAGGTCGTTTCAGCCTCTATCTGCGGCCTTTCTCTGGTTACCACCACCCATGCGGACTTGTCCTGGGTTACGTACATGGCCCTGGTGGTATATCACTCGTTGCATGAAGCTACTGGGGCTGTTTGTGCGGCCAGGGTCGCTGCACACGTGCGACAGTCAGCAGTGAACTTGGTGGAAATAACGTCAGTTACAGCAACAGACGATGCACCGACTTGCCTGTCATTGGCACTTTCGCCAGAAGTGACAGCACAAGCAACACCACCAGTACCCACGTTGCCACCAGCATCTACACCATCATCACCAGCAACAATGTTAGCACTAACACCTTCGCCATTAACGCGTACTAATGTGCCGTCGCCACCACCGGGTTTACATGACCTAGAGCAGCAGCTGACCTCCCTGTTTGCAGCAACAGCAGCTACATCAGTGGTGCTGCAGTCTGCAGTGCAAGCTGGGTTGTTGCTGTTCCTTGGAGGATCAGTGGCTGGGTGGTTTCTGGTGGATGGGTTTGCGTTGCTGTCTCTCGCAGTGGTGCTAGGCGTGGCGGCCGTTTTCCGGGTACTGGTACCAATAGTTTAAAATCAGGTATCTGTTTTTAGGGAAGAAAAAACTGTGTTGGCAGCGTCGTCTTATTCTTAATTAGAACATGTTACAACTAATGGAATTCATTCTTTACCTAGAAAACGAACCTCACAAAATCGAAGATGTTTTATCCGTAGCAAGCTTCGAGGTTGGAAATTACGACACAAACGAATGCTGATATAACGGACGGGGACGGAAACTTGACAAGAATGTGTCTATATATCATCATGCTGATGTGCCGTTCAATGAATTGGGAACGGGATATCATCATCATGGGAGGGAGGGATGTTGAATGCGTAACTTAGCTGAGGTTTCGACTGGAGTATCGAGTACCGAGCTGGTAACAACTATCGTCGTGTCCCGAATTCCACAGCCAGCTGAAATTCAACAAGTGAAACCGCAACTCATGCTATACGCTCTTGCAATACACTGTAGTCGGTCAGTCTAGGCTCTAGAATCATCATGCAATGCAATACTTCATTTCTTTCCAGTCAGTTTTGACCTAGTCACACACGGTTAGTAGAGGATTGTCCCGAAAAGCTGCTCCACTATGCCATCCCTGTCCGTCCGATATCATCCAAAGGATGGTCATGACTCACGGGGTGTGATCAGCTGGTAGGTCCCGATCGTGTTTGCTAGGTGCTAGGAGCAGTCCTCTCAGTTTTTTCATGGAACCTACTAGTAGTCACTGTTTGTTTCTGAGGCGATACCCGAGTCGTGTTGGTCTTACGGAACCCGATTTTAGTTTAGCGTTTAAGGCTTAGCGTACAGTGCGTCGCGTCCCTGCCGAGATTTCCTCGTCATCCATCCGAGTCCTTCAAGCCGTTGCGCTCTTGCGTGTTAGAGCGTTGACTAAGGGTAAGCACTGATTGAATCCCACATCTCGCACTGATTGATGCAAGTCCCAAGCAAGCTTGTATTTTCTCTCCCTCTCACTCGCTCCTCTTGGTTTTCTCTCCCTTTTTTTACCGCTGCTTTAATCCAACAACATCCGAGCCAGAACAAGCCCGTTTCCTATGTGTTTTGTCCCTCCCCCCCTCTCCCTCCCCCCCTCCCCCCCCCCTCCTTCCCTCCCCCTCATCAGCGGCATCTGCTCTTGATTTGTTCGTCAATTGAAATCCTGCGTACCCCTAACACTCGTAGCATTTTGTAGTCGTTCGTAGAATCCCTGAACCATTGCTAGCCGTCACTTTCTCGCCGATCCTAGTCGATTGTAAGCTGAACCATTGTAGTCGTCCCTATTCGATCCTCGCCGTTCGCCGTCCCTAGTCGATCCTTGCCGTCCCTAGTCGATTCTAGCCGTCCGGCCAATATTAACCGTCCCCAGTAGATTCCACCTTTAGATCCAGATTTCCAGCTATGGGTTCAGCTTACAATCCCTCCGCCTATTACAATTCACAGCAGCAGCAGCAACAGCAGCAGCCGCAGCAGCAGCAGCCGTTGGCTGGTTCCCAGGCGAACACCCGGCAGTTCCTGAACGGTATATTGGAGCAGAGAGGTCCGGGTGCTTTGCCTTATAACGAGGGCGACAAGTGGCTTATTCGCGAGCAGCTGGCGTTCACTATTCAGACCTTCTCTGGTCTGCAGGTTCGTCCGATTACTTGCTGCTTTCCGTCCGTACACGATATAAGTAACAGATGCTTAGTGAAGTCGTCCGATTTTTTTTTTCTCCCTTGCAACTACGGGTATTGCTTCCCCGTACTTCCGTTTCAACTGTGTTTTTCGTATCTCCACCCACGTTTTCAAGTTCACACCCCCCCATCACCCGTCAATTTCCTGTTGGATCTGGTTAGGAAGGGAGGCTCTATCCGTCCTCCCTATTCATTCATCCTCCTTATGTCCTCCCTTTTCCCTGCCTCTCCCCCTGTCTCTCCCTTAAGCTAACTCCAGGTCCGTCCCGCCACGTTCACGCACAACGACGGCCGCCAGGTGCAGCTGTTGCAGCTAGAGGGAACCATACCGATGTGGTACAAGGAGGTTAAGTACAATATCCCCATCACCATGTGGTTACTAGAGCAGTTCCCGCGCGCCGCGCCCCTCGTTTATGTCACGCCGACGCGGGATATGATCATCCGGCCCAATCACTCGCACGTGAACGCCTCGGGATTGGTCGACGTTCCGTTTCTGCGCGAGTGGGTGTACCAGCGTTCGACGGTAGTGGACCTGTTGCAGGTTTTGTCGGTTATGTTCGGGCAGGAGCCGCCGCTGTATTCCCGCCAGCCCGCGCATGCCGCCGCTGCGGCGCAGGCGCGCCCGCCAGGTGCGCGGACCGGCGGTGCTGGCGGACCAGGGGGAGCTGGCGCGGGCGCGGGCGCGGGCGCGGGTGATATACGCGCACAGCAACAGCAGCAGCATCAACACCCACAGCAGCACCAACACCAACACCAGCAACACCATCAGCAGCAGATGTCACCTCAACCACAAGTGTTCTCTGGCGGCGCTGGTGCTGCCCCAGCGCCCTTATCCCCGGCCTTCCAGGGAACTAACCCCATGCACATGCACGGTCCCCCTTCCTCGGGTTTAGAGGGTGCGCGGATTGGGCCGCCAGGGTCGGGCGGGAGAGAGAGAGGCATCAGCGGAAGCGGCAGTGGTGGTGGGGAAGGGGGAGTTGTGGGAGGAGGGGTCGGTGCGTACGCGCAGCAGCAGCAGCAGCAGCAGCAGCAGCAGCAGCAGCAGCAGCAGCAGCAGCAGTACGGGCAGTATAAAGGAACGTTTGCACGGTCAGGTGCTGGCCCCACAGGAGGGGCTGCAGCACCAGGCGCAGGGGGAGCAGCGCCGACAGCAGCAGGCGCGGGGGGCCCGGGAGGCGCGGCGGTAAGAAGCGGATCCGGGCAGGGAACAGGCGCAGCAGGCGCAGGCGCAGGCGCAGCAGCAGCAGCAGGGGCGGCGGCGGCGGCGGTAGCGGCGGCAGCAGGGAGAGCAGAATCCGGGAAAATAAAGGGCGAGGAGGCGAAGGAGGTGGTAAAAAAGGCGGCGATTATATCCCTGTCGGTTCAGCTGAACGCGGACGTGAGTGAGAGCTTGCAGAAGGCGAATCGGCTGATGGAGGAGCAGCTGGGGCTGCAGCAGATGCTGGTCGCGCGCAAGGAGCAGGCCAGCGGGGTGGTGCGGGAGCTTGAGCGGGAGAAGCAGGCGCTGGAGGAGACGCTGCAGGTGAGAGAGAGGGAGTTTGGGGTGGTTGGGAGCGGTGCTGCGGGTGAGAGGGGGTTTGGGGTGGGTGGGATGATGCGGCAGTGCAGGTGAGAGGGCTGGGGCAACGGGGAAGACGCTGCAGCCTGCAGTTAAGGGGTTGTGAGGGGATTTGGACCTGGGAGGGGCAGTGGAAAGGTTTTGAGTTGTTAGTGGGTGGGTTACTGGTGCATGCCTGGGTGAGACAGGTGTTGCAGGGGGGACTTGAACATGCCGCCCCAGGTTGGAAAACATTGCGCATGGAAATTCTCGGTATAGGAAGGGGGTGTGGAACCTTGTTGTTTAAGGTGGGAAGCCTGTGGGAGATGGTGGGGGAGAGACGTCCTTGTTACTGTTGCCTCATGCCAAAGTGTTTCTGCTGCTCGCTTTCTGGGAGCTGGGCAAAGGGGGGGCGGGTGTGGGATGAACAGAGGAAGTCCGTTGAGTCTGTCTCACTTTCTCTCTCTTCTTCCCCCCCGCCCCACCTTCTCCCTCTTTCCCCCCTTTGACCCCCTCTTTTTCTCTCTCCGTACTCACTTTTTTGTCTGTCCACCCCCCCCGCCCCCCTGTATGAGGCATGGTGTATTGGGCATGGTGTATGGGTAATGGTGTATGGGTCATGCTGTATGGGGCATGTTGTATGGGTATGTTGTGATGCGTGGGTCGTGATGCGTGTGTGACAATCCAAATGCCTCAATACGTACTGTCTTTGCTGCAGGTCCAACAAACCAACGCCGATGTCATGGAATCATGGCTAGCACAGAACGCCTCCTCTTCCACCACCACCACCACCACAACAACCACCACCACCGTCACTACCGACGCCGCTGCAATCGACATAGATTCCGCCTTTCAGCCCTGCGATCCGCTCTCAGCCCAGCTGCTCAAACACACAGCAGCAGATCTTGCTATAGAAGACGTGCTTTACTCCCTAGACCGGGCTCTTCAGGAGGAGCGTGGGCACGATGAGTACGACCCGTCATCTGCCAACTCGCGCCGGCGAATCCTGACCGTTGATGCGTACCTGAGGCACGTGAGGATCTTGGCCAAGGAGCAGTTTCTGCAGCGGGCGACGGCGCTGAAAGTGCAAGCGGTGCAGAGGAGTGCGAGGGTGAATCAGATGGCTGAGAGAGCGGTTTCGGGGCATGGGCAGGGGCACGTGCAGGCACATGGGCATGCGCATACGCTTTCGTCTGCTGCTGCTGCGGCTGCATCTTCAGCTGCAGCTGCTACGGCTGTCGGATTGGGTGCAGGCAGCAGGGACTTGTGAGAGGCAAGAGTGTGGCTGGGCTGATCTGTTAATGCCCCTGCTGCTTGCCCTGCTGCTGGCATGTACTGTTGCTCCTGCTGGCATGTACGGTACTGTTGCTGCTGCTGCTAGTGCTGGCGGTGCTGATGGTGGTTCTGGTGGTGGTGGGGAGGTTGGGTTGCCTGTACTTGCAGAATGAATAGGTGTGGTAGGTAAATTTGGTGCATTTACTGCGTTACATCATCAGATGACTGTTACGGTACCAGTGAAAATCTGGAAAGAATATACGGTAGGTACGGTCAGTTAGCGTCTCATTAATTTCCAGAATTCCACTTTTGAACTGGTATCAGGCTATGCAATGCTCAAGACAGTGTTCCGAGGGGTTTCCTAACTTCACTATGAGGGAGAGTGTGCAGCAGAGGACCAATGGTGGCCAAGTCCCACCCCAAACCATTTCTTTCCCGTGTCAAAAACGTATTCAAGCATCTTGTCACCAGTCTTACTGTACCTCAGCGCAAATAAAATGGTCTCTCAATTTCTTACAACCGACGTGTGGCCACAGCTTACGTGCGACGTGTGGCTATGATCGAAGACGAAATTACTGTTTCCGACTCTGGTATTGCGCATTGGCTATGTTATTACAGCTTCAATGGTGCATTTCCTCTGGTGGAAACAGAGAAGAAGTATAAGCGGCTGTTTGTATTAGCTACACTTACGCGCAACGTACGTTTGGTCTCAGGTGCAGATTATGCCGAGTAAGGCGCATGTGATGGGTCAATCAGCCGCTCTTGTTGGGTCAGTTCCACGACTAAAGTCAAGAATGGGAACATCGTCCATCCAGCCAAGGTTTCCCAATCGCCCAAGCAGTCAGTGTGTTCTGGCCAGCTTGTGGGCGGGGATTTTGCAAGGTTCAAATCGCCAACAGTGGCAAGGAACAGCTCGGATGGAACGCGCCCTAAAAAAGAGTCTCTTTTGAAAACACACCCGTTCAGACTGGCATTTGTTGAATAAGCGTCCCTGACAGCCCTGAAACAAGCGTCCCTATTCAGTATTGCCCCGACCAGATGCCTTGAAGGGAGTGTTGGCACAATTAAGCACTCCCTACCCTTCAAACGGGTAGTGGTGTGGAGCTTGAAGTGGAACAAGAGAGAGTTAGGGTTGCAGTCTTAGTCCTTGAGAGAGGGCTAAAAAATATCAATGGGTAACTAGTGTACGCGTCTCTTCAAATACGCACGTCAAAAGCGAGCTTTTCTCTGACACCCTTTTTGACAGTTGTTTCGTCGTCAAGAAATGCTGGTTACAGTGTGTACACCCGCATTCGGTCCCTCGCTATTTCCGGACGTTGTCGAATTGTCGGAAAGGGAAGCCAACGCGCGTCGCATGCAAGCATTTGACGGGGGCGATGAAATTGGTACATAAAAGGCACTCAACGCATTTTCTCATCAGTCAGACAATTCCCGCAGACCTGTTTGCAACGAGCGCTACTGATAAACTTCCGCTGACCATTCCGCCTGGCAACTCACATTGATAGCACATCAAGTCCTACTCTCCTCGACCATTCCTGCTAATTGGTAGTGCTATCAATACCAAATTCCACTCGCCTCGACCGCTCGCACTCTTTCGAAGCTGCACTTCTCTCCTAATCTTGACACATTCGTGTGTTAATCACGTCACGAGCCATGACGAAATTCGTCGTGCTACTTGCGATCCTCCTGGTGCTAGTAGTGCCGTCTCATGCCGCCGCCGGCGGCGGCGGCGGCGGATCGACGAGCACAAACACTACCGGAGGGACGGGAAGCAACAGCCCAACGGGCGACCCGTGCGTACCAGCGCAGAACATCACGTGCTCTACTGCGTGCAATTCGGGCAACGCTGGCGTGTACTCGCGCTACTCGCTCCCCGCGTTTCTGCAGAACGCGACGTGCCCGCCTGAGTACAACAACGCCGTCAGCACGAGCCGCCTGTACTGCTACGACGGCATGAGCCTGCCCTCGTGCTGCAACAAGTGCATCAGCCGCCGCACGTGCACCTACTGGCAATTCTACCAACCGTAAGTTTCCTTTCCACACCACCCTTCAAATCAATTCGGAATAACACAACCGATCCACGTGAACTCGAAGCATTCACATTCAAACGGTATGGATTTCCTATTTTCGGCGGGAGTCGGATGGAACTTCGCGATAAAGGCTAGTTGAACTAACCTTGATCCTCTCACCACCTTGTGTCTCTCCCAACAGACGATCGGATTGTGCCAATTGCGGCGTGTGCTACATCTACCCGCCGCTAGCGGCTGCTCCCACGTGCATTCCCGACGGCATCCTGTGGAACGTGACTCGCGTGGCGCGGCCATGCCCGTCGTCGCTCAACGACCCGCATTTCACGGGCGCCGAGGGAACGTCGTTTGACTTCAACGGGCTGCCCGACCAGAGCTTCTGCCTCGTCACGGACGAGCGAATCCACGTCAACATGCGCATGCGCGGGTACTACGACGATCGCACGATCGGCGCGTCGATCCTGAAGGGCGGCAAGGCGGTGCGCACGTGGATCAAGGAGCTGGGCATTCTGTGGATCGACGCGGCGGGCGTTAAGCACTCGTTCCGCATGGCGGCGCGCGACCGCAAGGAGATGGAGCGCGGCGCGGGATACATGGGAGAGATGGAGTTTAACGGCAAGGCGCTTCCGCTGCTGTCCGTGGGTGGAAAGTACGTGCTGCCCGGCGGGCTGACGCTTGCATTCACGGGGTACGAGAAGCAGGGCGGCGGGTTTTTCGACGTGGACGCGTACTCGCTGGAGGTGGACGGGCTGATCAAGCTGGACGTGAAGCTGCGGCCCGCGCACCCGCTGCTGCAGACGAAGGCGGACGCGCAAACGCACATCAACCTGCATTTCGCGAATGTGGAACGCACCCCTTCCATGCACGGTATCATGGGGCAGACGTACCGCGAGGGCCGGGCGAAGCGCGCGTTGGAGTACACGTCGCTGTCGGTGCTGCTGCGGCGGTCGTTCGCGGCGGACGGCGTGGAGGGCCGAGGGTACCTGGACGGCGAGGTGAAGGACTACCGCACGTCCAGCGTCATGTCCGCCGACTGCCTCTACACCGCCTTTGACGGCCACACGCTACCACCCATCAACGAGGCCAACGGCGTGCTACTGGCGTAATGGCTGGAGCAATTGGGACGTTATACATAAATTAATCTTCTTCTAGTGCTTTTGGTGGTGGTTCTTTTTTTTCACGGCCCCTTTGGTGGGAGCCTTTCTGTTTTTCATTGATCGTCAATAATGACAGTATGTCAAGATTTTACCGCCAACAAGTTAGGAACTCATGTGACTGAAAGTGATTCAATTGTCTCTGTTTTTCACATTGGCTAATTCTCGTCTCGTCGCGAAATTCTTGGACAATTGAGGCGATGTCGAAGTCTCAACGCGGTATTTCCACCATGATGCGAGGTTGCGAAGCCTGAAACATGAATGCATGATCAGTCAGCGTCTCGCCCTTTGCCCTTGATGGCGCAAGCAGCACGAATTTCGTGGATTGATTAGGATGAAAATCAGTCCTCCTCAGTGCCATCGCGCTTCGATCAGGGGTGGGATGGATTCGAGTGCTTGGCACTGACATGCGATGCGAATCGCCACCACGAGCATCCCAGAAAAGTGATGTGATGGGGATTGGATGGGATGGGATGGGATGGGATTGGTAGGTAGGGATATTAGTCAATTGAGTTAGCTTTAGCGTCAGGCTCGTCAACTGCTTGACTCTGACCCGGATTGACAGCTGTCGCCACCACGACAAAAAGCTGTAGAAACAACCAAGCCCGCCCCCAATTGTAAAGGGCATTTATCTTAGCGGTAACACTCTTGGAGCTCGATTGCACGCGAGGTAAGCTACGTGTCCAAATCGTAACAGAGATGTCTTCTCATCGCCACCATGGTAACCAGGATTGCCGAGATGGTCAGCATTATTGCCTGAATGGTAATGAACAGTGCATCCGGAAATCCTGGCTGGTAACTTCGCGTCCCAACCAAACTGTACTCCCTACAAATAGGGTTTGACTCAGCCGAAACGAAACTGGCTGTCCACATATACTCCACAAATGCGCATTTCGGTTTACAATACTGGTGTTTACAAGCTCACACCTTTAAAATAAAATTAAAAAGCGAATGCATTATTACCAAACAAACGCCACAAAATATAAAGAAATATGTCGGAACTCACAGCTATGCTATTGACAACTATTGTGAAACAGAGTGTTTTACTCAACAAGACTTCTATTTACGAATCTTAAGAGCTCCATCTAGATCAATATATAAAAATTACAAATTTCAAGGTGAGCATTACAGTTTTTGCATAAAGTATATAAAAGCTGTATAAAAAGACAAAAGACACTGCATGAATTACAGTTTTTTTATGTAGCAAATACTGCATGATATACTAATAAAAAAATATTTATCCAAGTTTTTTTAGTCGTGATTTCGACTATTAGTTGTTTAATATCATATATTTGAACGATGGTTGAACGATAAAACTTGTCCTATTACTAGCTATATGTATGACAGAGTTTCTGTAAGATGGTTGATTTTGTTGTGATAGTTAATTGTATCGCATACGTGCTTGTAACGCTTTGCGTTTGTAAGCGTTCATACAATAAACAGAAATGCGCATTCTGTGCGGTACACGTGGACATCAGTTTCCGTTTCGCTGAGTCAAACCCTACTTGTACGGTGTACAGTTTGGTTGGAACGTGAAGTTACCAGCCAGGATTTCCGGATGCACTGTTCATTACCATTCAGGCAATAATGTTGACCATTTCGGAAATGTTGGTTACCACGGTGGTAACCACATGCGACGTTCTAGGGTGATATAGCAGAAGAATTACGGTATGTAGAAGACTTTCTACACTCCCTAATCATTGCAGCAGTTGACAATAGGGTGAAAATACAAGCACAACCCAGCAACACATATTCTGATCTGAAGGTAACCCAACCCAGGCAATACCTCCTTGGCTTCCCCACCCCACAACCAAATCAAGCAACAATCAATGTTGGTGGGACACGCACTCATACCGTATTTCCAAGTTCCAGTCTAGCTAGACACCCTCTGATGTTCTAGAAGTCGAGACTTGCCTCAGAAGTCACATCTACGCCACCAGTCCCCGCTGCAGCCCAACCCAACTCCACCATACCCCACACCTCGTTTTTAGGCACCTACAAACTATTTCACTTGCTAGATATCCGTGCCACCTTCACTCTAGTTAGGGGTCAGGACTCAGAAACAGCACGAACGTAAGTACCATGACCTAGCTGGTTTCTGTCTTGCTGCTGCTGCTGTCGCCAATCACCAGGAGCATCAGCTGGAGCATCAGCAACACAGGTACAATCACTGAAAGCACCGGTGCTAACCACCGCTAACCACCGCCACCGCCACCATCATTAGCACCACCAGCAGCAGTAGCACCAGCACTACTGCCACCAGCAGCACCAGCACTCGCACTAGCACCAGCACTGGTGCTGCTGCTGCTGCCCCCTGTACCTGCTTTCCCTCCCTCTCTCTTTGATCTTGCAGCAGCCCTAGCTCTGCGCCTCTTCTCCCTCTCCCTCCGCTTCCTCTCCTTCAGGTCAATCCACTTGTAATCCTCTGGAATGACAAAAGGATCCACAGCCCAATGGTCCTCTTTCTCCTGCTCCTCCTCCTGCTCCTCCTCCTCCTCCTGCTGATGATGATGATGATGCACCCTTTTCCCTGGTGCCCTCCCCGCCACTGCTCCCCCCCTCTCCCCCACCCTTCCTCCTCGCCCATCCAAACCACGACCTCTTCCCTCCTCCTTTTTTCCCACCCTGCTCCTCCTCCTCCTCCTCCTCCTCCTGCTCCTCCTCCTGATCCCCCACCTACATCCCTCTCTGGACTAGCAGTAGGCGTGTGGAATTCATCTCCCTCCTCCCCACCATCCTCCCCATCCCCCTCCTTCCCGCCTCTCCCTTTCCGCCCTTTCCCCTCCCCTTCCCCTTCCTCCTCGTCCTCCTCGCCCTCCCCATCCCACTCCGCATCCTCCTGGGCGAGAGCAAAGGCCTCTGGCAGGGGAGCGGGAGCAGCCCTGAATTCTTCAAATTTGGAGAACGTGACAGAGACCCGGACAGTGGGGACCACAGGAATGGCCACCTGTGAGATACGGAGGAGGGGGAGACAGGGAGGAAGATTCTGTGTTTTTCGACACCTCAACAACAGGCTTCTGGCAGGGGAGTGGGAGCAGCTCTAGACTCTTCGAATTTGGAGAACGTGACAGAGACGCAGACAGTGGGAACCACTGGAAAGGCCACTTGGAGACACGGAGGAGGGGTGTGTGTGAGGGGGGAGGAAGGAGAGAAGGGGAGGGAGAGGCCGCGGGTTGTAGAGATGGATGGATTGAGCTGGTCTAGTGATTTGGTGCGAGGCTGCACTAGGAATAATTCCCGAGTCAGAACAAGGACAGAGTGGGGTGAAATGGGCAGGAATTTGCGATCGGAATTGGGGAAGAGGGAGGAGGATACACGCATTGAGGAGGGTAACGGGACAGCTATGTGGACAGTAAGCAGCAGCCCACAGGCAGCTATGTGGACAGTAGGCAGAAAGTGGGCCATATGCTTATTCACTGCCGCCCACAGCCCACATCCCAAAACCCATATCGTCCGCCATCCATAGCTCATGCCCACACACACCCACCAGCACCCACCGGCACCCACCAGCACGCAGCAACACCCACCAGCACGCAGCAGCACCCACCAGCACGCAGCAGCACCCACCGTCACCCACCTTCACAGGCACCATCCCAGGGGGTAGCTTCATCGTGAGCAATTCCTTCAGTCGCTGCACGGCCTTCACTCGGTTGGAAAGCAGATCCAGCAGCGGCAGCAGCTCCTTCATATCAAGAGGGAAATCCCTCGTCATCCACAGCACCGGCTTCAGCCCCCGCCGATACTCACTCTCCCCTTCCTTCTCCGCATATTCCTCCCCCTCCTCCCCTCCCCCTCCTCCCCCACCTCCCCCGCTTCCCCCGCCCCGCCCGCTCCGCCCCCCGCTCCTCCCCTCGCCTTTCTCCCTCTTGCTGCCTTTTCCCGAGCCCCTCTCCTCGTCCCTGCTGTCTCTCTCACGGTCTGAGAAGCTTCGAGAGAGCTTCCTTTCAAGCTGCCGCTTGCTCTCCTTGGATTCTTCTTGCAACTCACTATCACTTTCCACCTCCCTCTCTTCGCCTCTCATCCCTCCTCCCCCTCCTCCTCCTCCTCCCCCGCCTCCCCCTCCCCCTCCTCCCCCTTCACTATTTTTCCGCCTGGAGAACCATCCTCCCTTCTTAGACCCTTCTGCATTCCCATCCTTTTCCTCATCCTTCTCCTTCTCCTTCTCCTTCTCCTTCTCCTTCTCCTTTTTCTTCTTGCCCCCCAACCACCCTCTCCTTCCCCCCCCATCCTCCTCCACCTCCCTCCCTGCACCTGTCTCCCCTGCCCCTCCCTTCTCCTTCCCCTTCCCACCTCCTTTCGAACCCTTCACTCCATCTCCCTGCTTCTCCCGCTCCTCCTCCCTCCCCTCCCCCCCCTCCTCGTCCTCCTCCTCCCCCATCCCTTCCACCTGGGCCAATGCTGCTTTGAGCTGCGCCCTTTCCTCCTCTGTCAGTATACCATTATAGTCCTCCTCTTCTTCCTCCACTATCCCATCTCCCCCCTCCCCTCCCTCACCCGCCTCCTCCTCCCCTCCCTTCCCAGCATCCCCAATCTTCCCCTCCTTCCCCTTGTCCTTCCCACCACTCCCCTTCTCCCCTCCTGCTTTCGCCTCCTCTTTCCCTTTCCCTCCTTTCCCACCACCCTTCCCTGCTCCATCCTCCCCTTCCTTCCCACTCCCTCCCTTCCCCGCTCCTCCCCTCCCCTTCACCTTCCCAGCCCCTTCCCCTAAAAACTCCTCATCAGTCATAGCACCAGGCACCCGTCTCGACCGAAACATGAAGTGCACATGCTGCATCTCGTAAAGCATCGCCCTGTGCCCTGCTACAGTCTCCACCTTAGGCAAACCCCGCCAGGACAATACCTGAGTAAGCTCCGCTTGCGAGACATCAATCCCTGCCTTATACACATTCGTCATGAACAGCGATTGCACCTCGGCTTTTAATTCGGCGTCGGTGGGAATTGAACCCGCGGCCTCAAGAGCATCAAAGGCCTCTTTCCGCTCGTGCTTCAGCACCAGCAGCGTACCGGCTTTCAGCTTCCCGTCTGGGCTCGGCGCGCCCATGAAGATCAGACTCTGTGGCTTGCGCTTCACCCTGGGAAAGGAGGAACGAAGGGATGAGGAGAAGCGGTTCGCAGGAAAAAGGAGGACTGGTTTTAAGGCGCCTCAAAAGCGGGCTGGGTGCGCCCATGAAGATCAGGCTCTGTGGCTTGCGCTTCACCCTGAATGAAAGGGGAAAAACGGAGTGAAGGGGAGGAGGGGAGGCTGAAGAAGAGGGGACATCTGCTTCTGAGGGGCCTCAAGAGCAGGCTGGGTTTTGAGGCGCCTCAAAAGGAGGAGGGGATGCTGAAGAGGAGGGGCCATCTGCTTCTGAGGCGCCTCAAGAGCAGGCAGGGTGCGCCCATAAAGATCAGTCCCTGTGGCTTGCGCTTCACCCTGGGGGGGAGGAATGAACGGAGGGGGAGCGGGGGAGGGGGAGCGGGGGAGGGGGAGAGGTGGGGCGGGGGAGGGGAGCGGGAGCACATGCTTGCTTGCTTGTACCCCCAGAAGCAGCCTCGGAACCTACCTTGGAGCAAGCCTAGGAACCAGAGCCAAGACCGCCTCAGTACAAGGCTGAAGGAGGGAGCTAGAAAAGGCACCACCTGAGCATACACACCTGAAGCCATCGAACCCTGCGAGGGTCATATCGGCTCTGAGCCTCGGCCCGCGCTTCCAGATGCGGTAGGTGTCGCTGGGAGCGATCCGTGAGACAAAGGGGATGACGGACGACTGAAAGGAAGGACCACGTGACCTCCAGGTAGAAGTCGCGCATGCTTGTTTGCTTATACCCCCAGAAGCAGCCTCGGAACCAAAACCAAGACAGCCTCAAAGCAGCTGAGAAAACTGAAGGAGCTTGAAAAAAGCAGCTGAGAATACCTGAAGCCATCAAACCCAGCAAGAGTCATGTCAGCTCTGAGCCTCGGCCCGCGCTTCCAAATGCGGTACGTATCACTTGGAGCGATTCTCGAGACGAAGGGGATGACGGAGGACTCGAAGGACCACGTGACCTCCATGTAAAAGTCGCGCATGCGCGTGAGAATGGCCGCGAGGGCAGGCAGGCGGCGCATGTAGCGCGCCCACACCTGCACCCCGCTGTGGCGCAGAATAGATGTGGCTATGGCCTCGTCCCGCGTGCACACGGCCTCTTGAATGGCCGTCCAGCCACCTCCGTTCTGAGAAGGAACAGAAGGGAAAGGGGAAGGGGAGTGGGGAGGAAAAGGGGGAGCGAAAGCGGAAGGGAAAGGGGTGGAACGGAAGTTGATTCTGAGATGGGTTCGCTTCGGGACAGTCACTGCCGGTTGGGAGAGGCGCGTGGGCGGGAGGGCAGGCGGTGCATGTAGCGCGCCCACACCTGCACCCCGCTGTGGCGCAGGATCGATGTGGCTATGGCCTCGTCCCGCGTGCACACGGCCTCTTGAATGGCCGTCCAGCCGCCTCCGTTCTGGAAGAACGGAGGGGAGGAGAGGAGAAGGAGAAGGGGAATGGGAAGGAGAAGGGGGGGGGGAAGGGCAAGGGGGACGGGGAAGGAAAAAAGGGGAAGGGGGCATGGGGAAGTGGTGGAACAGAGGGTGACTCTGAGTGAGGTCGGGGGAAGGGGAAGGGGAAGGGGAAGGGGAAGGGGAAGGGGAAGGGGAAGGGGAAGGGGAAGGGGAAGGGGAAGGGGAAGGGGAAGGGGAGGGGAAGGGGGAGGGGAAAGTGGTGGAACGGGGAGGGGTAAAATGGGGAATTCGTTGAAGTAAAGCTGGGAGGGGTAAAATGGGTCTCAGAACAGCCACAGCCGTTCGGGAAAGGAAGGAGGAGAAAAGGGGAAAACGGGGAAGTGCGGCGTTGAGTGAGGGGGGGAGGGGAACAGGGTAGGATGTGGAAAACGAGGTTTAGCTGTTTTCACCTTAACTTACTCTAACACAAGGGGAGAAGACATATGGGTCCGACATTGAAGAGTGTTATAATGCTTGCGGGTGTCATTATCCTCAACCCTGAATGAAACCCTAGCAAAACACGATTTTGTTTAAGAAGAACACGTAGGCTGAGCGGACGTCTCTAGCTAAGGTAGACCTCCTAGAAAGTATCCAACGAGATGGTGGTTGCTTTTAGATCTTGAAAACCAGATCTGGAAAATGAACATTTTTCACATTTGTATCCAACCTAGATGACGCGCGAGTTTTTTTCATGCTCGAAAATGGGCAAAAAAACTCGCGATTCCAAAAAACTCACGAGTATTGAAAAAACTTGTTGGGAAAACGAGTTTCCCACGAGTTTTTTTTTAACTCGCGAGTAAAACTCGACTCGAGCGTCCGAGTTTTTTCAGCAAAAAGTCGAGCTCGAAACTCGAGCTTTTCGAGTCCCTCGAACGAGTCGAGTAAAAACTCGACTCGTTTGCCCACGTCTGGTTTAGAGATGTCGTGCGTGCGTGTGTGAGCGCGTGCGTATGTGAGCGTGTGTTTATGTGAGCGTGTGTGTTTGTGAGCCTGTGTGTGATTGAGCGTATGTGTGTGCGTGCTCATGCATACATGCGCGTGCACAAGTTTTCACGAAGGCCTCGGTTCCTTCCCCTGCTCATCAAGTTCTATCATGCAACTCGCACAGTGGATGGATAGTTAGTACAGGATAGAGAGAGATATAGCTCGTAAGGCAGGAATGCTTGCTTGCCTGCTTTCGCGCCAGCCCATCACCCACCCAAACGCATCGTTCAGTCAACCCCCTCGCCCTCTAAGACCCCCCACCCTCCCCCTTCCCCGCTTTCCCCCGTTTTTCCCCGCTTTCCCCCTTCCCCCTTTCCCCCTGGTCCAAGCAGTCCCAACCCAACAACCAGCGGCGCACCTGGAGGCTGACGTCAGCGCCAGCCTGGACCAATAGCTCCACGGCGGCCCTATCCCCGAGTCGCACCGCGAGGCACAGCGGCGACTCCTTGTGCGGCACGTCGCGCCGATCCAGCGTGCGCTGCGCCACGTCAGCCTGGACCTCCGCAGCCAATGACTGCTCTTCGGTCTTGATACTCCCCGGAATCGGCGGGCGCGGAACGGACGCGAGAATGCGCCTTAAAGCGTGGTAATCGCGCTGCAGGATCGCCGTGTGGATGGGGCTGTGGGCATAGTCTTGGAGATTAATATTCGCGACGGCGCGCGCCGTCGCGGCGACGAGCGCCTCGGTGGACATGGAGCTGCGGGAGCCGCCGGAAGAGCCCGCGCTAGGATTCGCGCCGGGTTTTGCGGCGGCGACGCGGTTGGAAGTGTCAGATGCACGGGCACGATCAGAACCTACAGCAGGCTCTGCACTGTCAGACGCACGAGCGGCTGTCGGCGCAGGCTGCGGAGGGGGGTCGTCTAAATTGGCCATGGCTACCGTCGGGGAAATTGGAAATTGAAGAAACCAAAACTACGTAGGGTTACACGAGTTGGGTTGACGAAACGGGTCGTGTCGTCGTCGCCTGGTCAGGCGACGTCGCCCGTCACCTCGTCTAGAAGAGACGCTTACTCTCCTCCACCAATATTCACACAGACAGAGACAACGGGGCTAATGTAAGGCGAGAAGCTGGCAATTCATGAAGGGAATTTTGAATTGACGGAAACAGTGACGCTAACGGAAACGGTGGCCGGAACGTCACGTCACGTTGACCACTCAGGGCATCTCACCCAACGCTGCTACCGCCACATAAGCGGCGAGTCCGCATCCGCAATTCCGAAATCGAAACGCAAGCTCCCTCCAGCCTCTTCCTTGTCTAGAACTTCCGACGCAGATCGCGCACGTGATAGCGCGAAATGCGGGAGAACGCAAAGCGAAAACGTGAGCAAGACAAATAGCCTCTTGCTACAACATCGGCAGGTAGGTCAGACAGGTAGGTCTGGTCTGGTCTGGTTTGGTCTGGGCCCGCTGGGTTTGGTCTGGGGCATCGTTTTGCAAACTCGCTGGTTCTGTGCGGTCAACTCTGTTGCGTCACGGTGCCAAACGGTAACGTAATGCAAACACTTTGCACCGTTTAAAACCGTTCAGAGCCACGATGAATGAACTGTAAATGTTTGGGTGCACACTGCAGGGCAGCCTGTGGACAGGACAGGACTGGCTCGAAGCTGTTTTACTGTGCTGATAAGGGGGGTGGCACTGCCGTGTCGTGTGTGTCAATTGACGGGTGTATCACCTCAATTGACATCGGTTCCTCACGGTTCCAGGGGTCAAAGAATTTGTACCACGTTAAAGCGAACTGAACCGTACTGTACTGTTCGTTCGCGCATGGGGAATTGCGCAACGTCTTTGTCTTTGTGATGTGGGCCCACAAGATTTCGACAATTCGTGCTCGGATAAAGAGTATGTACACCCCAGCTTCATCACAAGTGTGATCAATCCCTCAGCTTACATTTCATGGTCTTTCTCAAATAAACTTTAACAAGATCTAGAATGTCCCCATCGGTCATTGCAATTCAAGGAAACCAGATCCCCTACCGTTTCCTCCTCAGGCATACCACTATGCACATTCCCCCATTAGTATCAGCAACATGCATGTGCCGCTCGCGTGACCCTCAGAACAACACGATCACCATAACAAAACACCGACATTCCACCAAATACCGGTACCCTCCCCTTTCCCACTACGAAATCACCAGCTTCTGCTGCTCCCTCAGCGCATTCCACTCCTGCAGCACCGCCAGCTGCAGGGCATGCTCCTCCTCGGGAATCACCGGAATCTCTGGTGCCTCCTCCCCCTCCGCAGGCGCAGGTTCAAACATGCCGGGAAGGGGAATGCTCTTGGAGGCGGGGCGAACGGCAGAGCTGAGGAGCTCGAGGGACTCGTCGTGGCGCTTCTTCTTTGTGGCTGTGAACGCTGCTAGCTCCTCCTCACTCACTGCCCGTATCGCCCCGCCTGGAGGTGGTGGGATGGCGTGGGGTGAGTGTGCATGAGTGAATGTGTAAGGGAGAGCGGGGGAAGAGGGGAAAAGGGGGAAAGGGGAGGAGCAAGGATGAGGCAATCTGAATAAACTGCACGGAAGACCATTTCGGGCAGCGAAATGCTCTTGGATGCGGGGCGCATGGCAGAGCAGGAGAAGGCAATGGGATCGCCTTGGCGCTTCTTCTTTGTGGCTGTGAACGATGCTAGCTCCTCCTCACTCACTGCCCGTATGGCCCCACCTGGCGATGGCGGGGTGTCGTGGGGTGAGTGTGTGTGGGAGGGTGTGGGTGTGGGGGGAAGGGGGGGAGGCAGACGGGAGAGAATGGGAGAGAGAGGGGAGCGGGGGACCAGGATGAGCTGGTATTGATGGACTGTGTGGAGAGAAAAAAGAGGAGGGCGTGGGTGCACGAGTGTGAGGGGAAGGGGGGGAAAAGGAGAGAGTTGGGCGCGAGACAAGGAGGGTGGGATGAGGAGCGGGCGGGGGAAACTTTGACTTTGTCTGAGGTTCCTTGAAAATCGTATCTAGAGGAGGCTCATGAGACAAGGAGGTCGGAATGCGAGGGAGTGGGAGAGGGGATGAGACAAGGAGTGAACCAAACAGGCCCGCCTTACCAGTGAAATCATCCAGCCAACCCTGGGGAACGGCGAGGATCTCGTTGACGACGTGGGGGGAGGAGGAGCGCAGCAGGAAGGGCCAAGTGCAAGATCACCAGCACAATGGCTAGTGTGTGGGGACCTTTGAGCACAGCCCATGGCACCCATGGCGTCACGCGTACCTGTGAGGTCATCGAGCCACTCCTGGGGAGCGGCAAGAATTTCATTGACGACGTGCGGGGAGGAGGAGCGCAGCACGAAGCGGCAGAACATGGTGGTGGAGTCGGCTGCAAAGCCGCCGTCACTCGCTATGTCACTCGTGCCAAACACTATTATGGCCAGCGTGTCCCCGAACCACGTCTTGGCCGCATAGAACACCTGGGGGGGAAGAACGGGGAGAAGAGGGTGGGGGAGAGGAGGAAGGAAGAGGGGAGGAAGGAGGAGGTAACCGGGGTGCGTGAGTCTTGAGTAGACGCAGCAGCAGAACACCATGATGCATAGCGTGTCTCCGAACCATGTCTTGGCCACATAGAACACCTGGCAGGGAGAGGAAGAGGGCAGAAGAAGAGGAGCGGAGGAAGGAGAAGGTAACCAGGATGTGTGACTCTTGAGTAGAGCAGCAACAGAACACTATCATGGCTAGCGTGTCTCCGAACCACATCTTGGCCACATAGAACACCTGGGGGAGAGAAGGGGGGTCGGGAGGAGGTGAACTCAAAGAATTGACTCGTGAGTAGACTCAAAAACAGAGGCCTTGATACACCACCCACACACCTCTCACACACTACCCAAACGCCAACCACGCATGCTCCACTCACGTGCACACCACCCACAGCAAGTACCTGGAAGCCTGCGCGGCTGCGGATGAGATGCGAGGCGACTTTGAAGACAGGGCGTGAGTCAATGGCGCGCAGGCCGGCGAGCAGCCTGCGGATGCCGACGTCGTCGGAGGAGAGGACGAGCGAGGAGTGCGTTGAGTCGTAGAGGTAGGCGCCCGTGTGCTCGCCCACTGCTGGCAGGCTCGGCAGCACTCGGAAGAACTCCACTGGGGAGCACCTGGAGAGGAGGAGGGGCAAGGGGGTGAAGGAACAGGAGGGGTGGAAGGAGAGGAGGGAGGAGAGGACGAGCGAGGAGTGCGTTGAGTCGTAGAGGTAGGCGCCCGTGTGCTCGCCCACTGCTGGCAGGCTGGGTAACACTCGGAAGAACTCCACTGGGGAGCACCTGGGGAGGCGGGAGAGGAAGTGAGGGGGAGGTGAAGAGAGGGGGAGGAGGGGAGAGAGGGGAGGTGCAGGAGGAGGGGGGAGGGGTGATGTGTGAGGGGGTACGAGGGGGAACGGGGCTTGGAAGGAGAGGGGGAAGGGAGCCGTGAGTCAATGGCTCGCAGGCCGGCGAGCAGCCTGCGGATGCCGACGTCGTCGGAGGAGAGGACGAGCGAGGAGTGCGTTGAGTCGTAGAGGTAGGCGCCCGTGTGCTCGCCCACTGCTGGCAGGCTCAGCAGCACTCGAAAGAACTCCACTGGCGAGCACCTGGGGAGGGGGGCAGGTGGGGAGGGAGAGGGAGAAGAGGAGACGGAATGGAGTAAGGAAGAGGAGCGGGAAAAGAATAGAGTGGGGAGAGGTAGAGGTAGGCGCCTGTGTGCTCGCCCACTGCTGGCAGGCTCCACCCGGAAGAACTCCACTGGCCAGCACCTGAGGGTGGTGGGGAAGGTTGGGGGGGGGTGTGAGGAGGGAGAGAAAAGTGGAGGGGGAAGGGACGTGGTGAAAGAGGGAAAGGATGACATTTATAAGGAATTACCGGTAGGTAAAACATCTCACCTGCACGTGTCCACACACCCACTCGCCCACCCACACGAACCTGTACGGCACAAGCAGGTCAGTAAGAGGCACACGGTACGGCACACACCGCAGCCTCACAGGCTGGTTTTGAGGCGCCTCAGAAACCGTCTCACACACACACACCCCCACCCACCCACCCACCCACCCACCCACCCACCCACCCACACGCACACGCACACGCACCTGTACGGACAAGCAGGTCTGTGAGCGGCACACGGTACGGCACACCCACACGCACACTCACCTGCCCAAACCCACCCTCCCATGCACACGCTCAGACAGACTCAGCCAAATCACCCACACACACGCACCTGTACAGAACGAGCAGGTCTGTGAGCGGCACACGGTACGGCACACCCACACGCACACTCACCTGCCCAAACCCACCCTCCCATGCACACGCTCAGACAGACTCAGCCAAATCACCCACACACACGCACCTGTACGGAACGAGCAGGTCTGTGAGCGGCACACGGTACGGCACACCCACACGCACACTCACCTGCCCAAACCCACCCTCCCATGCACACGCTCAGACAGACTCAGCCAAATCACCCACACACACGCACCTGTACGGAACGAGCAGGTCTGTGAGCGGCACACGGTACGGCACACCCACACGCACACTCACCTGCCCAAACCCACCCTCCCATGCACACGCTCAGACAGACTCAGCCAAATCACCCACACACACGCACCTGTACGGAACGAGCAGGTCTGTGAGCGGCACACGGTACGGCACACCCACACGCACACTCACCTGCCCAAACCCACCCTCCCATGCACACGCTCAGACAGACTCAGCCAAATCACCCACACACACGCACCTGTACGGAACGAGCAGGTCTGTGAGCGGCACACGGTACGGCACACACCGCAGCCTCACAGGCGGCCGCACCGGCCCACTCGCCGCACCCCCCTCCCCCTCACTCCCACTCGTTCTCCTCCTCCTCCCCAGCCCCCCAATCCCCACTCCTCCTCCCCCTCCCCCGTCCTCATCCTCCAAACTCAGCCTAGTAATATCCGCTATCCCTACTCCTGCTCCTCCTCCCCCTGGGCTGTTATGGGAGGAGCGGCGGTTGTTGGAGTTGCGGGGGCTGGGGAGAGTGCCGTGATAGAAGAGCATGTGGAGCTGTAAGGCGTTGCGCTGGAAGCGAGTCACTGAGACGGTCACATCGGAGTAAATGGGCTCCTGTGCGGGGAGGGAGATGGACGAGAGAGTAGTGCGCAAAAGAGCATGAGGAATGTTGGAGGAGAGGGGGGCTGGGAAGGAGAGAGTTCCAAGGTAGAAGAGCATGTGTAGCTGGAGGGCGTTGCGCTGGAAGCGGGTCACTGGGACCGTAATGTCTGAGTAGATGGGCTCCTGTGCGGGGAGGGAGATGATTGGGAGAGCTGTGAGCAAGAGAGTTCGTGAAAAAAACTAATGGGCTGGGGAGTTTGATGCTGCACTACTCTCCTGTGGCCAACAAAACCCTCCTCCACTCTTGCAGCCACATATGCCCTGCCCACGTCCCCCTTCCCTTCCCCACCCCAGTAGCACCACTATCGGCTTTTGACGGTCGACCCATTAAAAACAGTTAGACAACAGTCACCTGGGGCTGCAAGCGATTAAGCCGGCGAATGGCCCGTGACAACCCGTCCATGAAGCGCAGAGCACCCAGCAGCCCCACGTGCACGTCCCTCCTCCTCCCCCCTTTGATTTCTGAGCCATTTCGAAAGAGAAAGCTCACCTGGGGCTGCAAGCGGTTGAGGCGGCGAGTGGCCCGTGACAACCCGTCCATGAAGCGCAGAGCACCCAGCAGCCCCACGTGCACGTCCCTCCTCCTCCCCCCTTTGATTTCTGAGCCATTTCGAAAGAGAAAGCTCACCTGGGGCTGCAAGCGGTTGAGGCGGCGAGTGGCCCGTGGCACCCCATCCATGAAGCGCAGAGCACCCAGCAGCCCCACGTGCACGTCCACCCGCGGTAACACCACCTCTGTCATGTTCAGCACCTGATAGGAGTGGTATGTGGGGGTGGATGGGGGGGAGAGACACCAGTGAGAGAGAAGAGCTAGAAATGTGTAAAGAAACCCCTCAGAGCACCCAGCAGCCCCACATGCACATCCACTCGTGGTAGCACCACCTCGGTCATGTTCAGCACCTGATGGGCGAGGCATGTGAGGGAGGAGAGAGGGGGCGGACAGCAGTCGGAGAGTGGGGACAACAGTGGGAGACGAGTTAATAATGCACAGAAAGGGATTGTAGCAGGATGCAAAACTCTCAGGATATTTCGTACACTAATCCTGGGGTCAGAGATCAGATCAGAGTAGCAACCACACACGCCCTCTCACCTTCACGCTGAGGGTAACCCTCCTCTCAGTCATGGCCGACAGGTGAAAAGCCTCCACATACGCCAGGTCACTGCTCCCCGTAATGTTAATCGCCACAGGCGCAGACACCTGCCGTCCCGCCACAATCCCAGATGATGCCCCTGCAATCCCGGCCATGCCTCCTCCGGGAATCAAAGCCGGGTCCAACCCCTGGTCCTCCTGCTGCTGCTGCAGCTGCCGCTGCAGCAGCTCGTCGGGAGAGGCGGAGGGAGCTGAGAGGTCTGATACGGCGGATTTGACGAGGGACTCGAGCTTGCGGTCCTGCGCTGCCGCTGCGCTGTTGTAGAGCACGGAGAGGCGGTGGTGGGAGAAGGGGTACTCGCCCGTTGCCCCCATGCGCACTGCCCACCTGTGGTTGGGGGGGTGGGAAAGGGGAAAGGGGAGGGGAGAGGAGAAGGGAGAAAGGGGAAAGGAGAGAAGAGGGAGAGGGGAGAAGCGGAGAGGGAAGAAAGAGGAGATGGGAGAAGTGTTTGGACGGAAGAAAGGGGAGAGGCGGAGGGGGCTGAGAGGTCTGATACGGCGGATTTGACGAGGGACTCGAGCTTGCGGTCCTGCGCTGCGGCTGCGCTGTTGTAGAGCACGGAGAGGCGGTGGTGGGAGAAGGGGTACTCGCCCGTTGCCCCCATGCGCACTGCCCACCTGTGGTTGCGGGGTGGGGAAAGGGGAGGGGGGAAAGAGAGATGAGAGGGCAGAAAGGGGAGAGATGAAGGGAGTGGTCTGAGACAAGGGAACCAAGAGCCAGTGGTGCGAGAAGGGGTACTCGCCCGTTGCTCCCATGCGCACTGCCCACCTGTGCACGTGGGGTGGGAGAGGGGAGGGGGGAGAGCGAGAGGGGAGACGGGAGAAACGAGAGAGTGGAGAAAGGGGAGAGGAGAGAAAGGGGAGAGGGGAGAAAAGGGAGAAATAAGGGGAAATGTCTGAGACAAGGGAACCCTTCTTCCCGTTTCTGAGGCGGCGGTGGAAGAAGGGGTGTGTGGGGTACACATTCGTTGCTCCCATTCGCACTGCCCACCTGTGGATGAGGGAGTTGTGGAAAGGAGGGAGGGGAGGGGCGGGACAGGAAGTGGCGCACATAAGCAAGCGACTGCAGGATGCTGCAGCAGCCCTTCTCCCACGCACCTCAAACTCCGACACGCTCACACCCTCCCCCCCTGAGAGCCCAGCGACTGCAGGATACTGCACTGCAACAGCCATTCTCCCACGTGCCTCAACTCAAACCCCGCTTCCCCCAACACCCTCACACACTCCCCCACCAGCAGCATTACTCACGTTCGGTCAGGAAATTGGCGCACATAGGCCAGTGACTGCAGGATTCTGCTGCCGTCCTGTTTCCATCCACGCACCTGAAACCCTTCCCTTCCCCAACAGCCACCCTCACACTATCCTCTTCCCCCACTAACAGCACCACTCACGTGCGGTCGTGAAAGTGATGCACATAGGCCAGCGACTGCAGGATACTGCAGCAGCCATTCCCCCAGGCACCTCAGACTACCCTTCCCCAAACACCCCCACACACTCACTCCTCTCCCCCCAGAGCCACCACTCACGTGCGGTCAGGGAAGTGGTGCACGTAGGCCAGCGACTGCACGATGCTGCAACAGCCCCCTTCCCACACACCTCAACCCCCGTTTTCTCCTCTCCCCCCAGAGCCACCACTCACGTGCGGTCAGGGAAGTGGTGAACATAGGCCAGGGATTGCAGGATGCTGTGGCAGCGGTGGCGAGTGGCACTATTTACCAGCCCCACATCCCAGACTATCCCCCACTCCCCTGGCCTTTCCCAAAGCTAGAGCCACTCACATGCGATCAGGGAAGTGATGCAAGTAAGCTAGAGACTGCAGGATGCTGCAGCTCTCCTGCCCCAACACATTCACACCTCAAAACCCCCCATCCAGCCTTCTCCCAGCAGCACCACTCACGTGCGGTCAGGGAAGTGGTGCACGTAAGCCAGCGACTGCAGGATGCTGCGGCAGCGGTGGCGAGTGGCACTATCCACAAGCCCAGGCGCCGACTGCAACTCCTCCACCTCCCGACACACCAGCGCCGCCGCCCTGAAGCTCCTCGCGCCCAGATGCAGCGCACACACCAGAATCGCCTGCACCTCCTGCAACCGATTCCCACTCATCGCCACCGCTGCCGCACCCCTGCCACCGCTCCCCACTCCTCCATCTCCCCCGTCCCCCGCAACAACGTCCGCGAGCATGGTTCCAGTGGCATCGTCCGGGGAGAAGAGGATTCGGTGGAAGAGGGAGGTGATGATGGTGACTGGGTCTTTTGGGTCGTCTGGAAAGAGAGGCTCGGGTCCTGAGAAGGACATGTGCTCAGCTAGCACCCAGAGGAGCCGCACTCGCAGGGTGGAGGAGGAGAGCTGGAAGGGAAGGGGAGGGGAGGTTGGGGGGTTGTGAGGGGGCGAGAGAAACGATTGATTGGTGAACGGGGAGGAGAGAGGGGCTCCGGGAGTGAGAAGGACATGTGTTCTGCTAGCACCCACAGGAGCCACACTCGCAGGGTGGAGGAGGAGAGCTGGGGTATGATGGGGGGGGGGGTGGGGGGAGTGTGGGTGGAGTGGGAACGCTGAGTTAGAAAACGGGAAAAGAGAGAGGCTCGGGTCCTGCGAAGGACATGTGCTCGGCTAGCACCCAAAGGAGACGCACTCGCAGGGTGGAGGAGGAGAGCTGGGGTGTGATTGAGGGAAACGGGAGGGGAGGTGGGGGAGTTGGGGAGGGCCGGAGAGGACAGGATGAGTGAAGGAATGGGAGGAAAGAGGGGTTCCGGGCGTGAGAAGGACATGTGCTCTGCTGGAACCCAGAGGAGACGCTTTCGCAGGGTGGAGGAGGGGAGCTGCGGCGTGATTGAGGCGGGGGGAAGACGGAGTGGGGAGTGGAAAGGCTGATTCAAGGAAGGGGGGGAGAGAGGGACTCGGGGCCTGAGAAGCAAAGCTGCTGTGCTAAGAACCAGCGGAGAAGCACTTGCAGGGTGGAGGAGAGCAGTGGCGCAACAGGGTAGGGGGAAGACGGGGGAGAAGCTCTCAACCGCTCTCAACCCCATTCCAACCCACCTCTTTTGCGTCTTCCAGTAGCTGTCTCTGCAGCGTGTACAGACAGCCTCTGCTCCGCACAAATCTGCTCCGGAGTAACTTCTGAGTTGACTCAAACCCCACCACCCACCCAAACCCACCTCTTTTGCGTCCTCCAATAGCTGCCTCTGCAGCGTGTACAGCCTCTGCTCCGCGCGAATCTGCTCCGGAGTAGCCCCATCCTTGGCACTCTTCACCCCGCTTGCTGTGTTATACACCTGGCACAGCCGCACCAGCAGCCGCAGGTAACAGTCCACAGCATACGTCCGCCCACCACACTGCCACCGCACGCACGGCCTGCACACCTCTACAACCTCTAGTGCCGTCTGTCCCCACGCCTCCCACCCTCCAGACGATGCCTCCCCGGAAACCACTGCTGCTAGGGATCCCCCTCTGCCTGCCGCGGCAGCAGCAAAGGAAAACCCCGCTCCTGAGTCCGCTCCGTAACCTTCCCCAGTTATACCTCCCCCGCCGAACCCTCCTGCTAACCCGCTCCCCATGCAGCCCGCGCCCCCCGCTCCCCCTCCTGCTCCTGCTCCGCCTGCCCCTCCGCCTACTCCCCCGCCTCCGCTCCCACTCGCCAGCTGAAACGCACTCTCTACCAAACACGCCAAAAGCTCCTCTCTAAACAGCCCACCATCGACGTTCGGCACTACTGGCAGCGCCAGCTCGTCTTTAATCTGCGGGTCGTCAAAGAGGGAAGAGACGTCCGTGCCCGTGACTGGCCTCTGCCCCCTGCGCGCCGATTCCTTAGAGAACAGATCCACGCAAAGAGCAGCGCGGCAGATGCTCGCTAGCGCTACCATACGATCCGCTTCCGCTCTCAACCCTCGGACCATCAGCAGGAGCCGCTTGAAGAGCGCCGCCTGGGTGTGTATGTCTAGAAGAGGGAGGTTCGACACCACGGCTTTAACTATCGCCTCTCGTCCCGCTGAGTACTCCTGCCGATCCCAAAGCGAGAGGAACGCGGTCACAGGTCCTGTCGCCCACTCCGGTTTCCCCCCAGGCACGGCCGCGAGAGCGAGAATCTGCAGGCCCACTTCGAAGACTATGGATGGGTCTAGAGAGGCGAGGTATGGCGAGAGGTGCGTTACTATATCCGCGACGCCGAGCATGCGCTCTGTGTTCACTAGGTCTTTCCGCTCCTCTGCAGCTGCTGCGGCTGTTTCTGAAGATACAGTCGTGGCTACTGCAGTGGAAGAGGAGGAGGAACGACGCGATCCCACGTTGCTGCTGTTGCTGCTGCTGCTGGGCTCCTCCTTTCCCTTTCCACTCTTGCTGTCTCTCCCTGACCCTCCTCCTGCTGTTGCTGCTGACGATGCTTTTTTGTCCTTGCCCTTTTTCTTTGCGTCCTTCCCGTCCCCTTTTTCTTTGCCAGAGCCACTATCAGCAGCAGAATCTCCCAAAGCAAGTCCACCAATCCCGCTCCCGCTACTCTCGCCCTCGCCTCCTCTTCCCGCCCCAACACCGCCGAAATCCCCCAGGCCTAGCAAATCATCCCCGAATCCACCCAACCCATCGCCAGCATCACTTGTCGCGCCCACGGAAACGGCGCTGCTTCGTCTCCTCCTCGCGCCCTCCTCCTGAGGATTCAACATCATTCTTAAATCATCAACTAGCCCCGTCGCATACGCCCGCGCGGCGTACGCAAGCGGATAGATCGACGAGCGGAACGCGTCGGGAGTGAGCAGGGCGGCGCGCGCAATTAGCATGTCCCGCTTCCCCCAGACTAGCCCGGTCAGCGCAACCACCAGCTGCGCGCGCACCGCGGCGGAGGATTCCGTCGGAACGAGCCGTTGCGCCGCGATTCTGCTCATTTTTTTCGTCGCGAATTCTGAAAATAGACGGCCCACGGCGTCGAAAGCCGCGGCTGCGACTATATCGGAAGGGTCTAACATCGAAAGGCCGATTTGGCGCCACCAGAGCGAGACGCGATCTAGGAGGGAGACGGACTGCGCGCAGAGATTAATTACGTCGTCGCGTAGGAGAAGCGTTCCGAGGGAGTCCATCGCGGCTTGTCTTAATCCCACGTGGTCGTGGACGATACAGTTAGAGAGCTCCTTAGAGTGATCATCTAGAAACTTCCCGACCCGCCAGCCCGGAAGCGCCACGACGAAGCGCAGCGCGGCGGCGGTGACGTCAGGATCCGGGCAGCTGAAATCATTGTGCATGCCCCGACAAACCACATCCCAGTCGTCATCCGTTAAGTGGCCCGCGGTGCGGAGAGCATCGTACGCGAGCTGCTTACTAACGGCGTTAGCGCTGCCGGCGATTAACTCCGTGCAGAGAAGCGACGCGAGACACGATACGTCCTTACCGCCGGCTGCTAACTGCAAGGCGACTAAGATGGCGGACGTCTGTCGGCTGACGTCGTTAGATATTATGTCGCCCCGAATGGCTTGAAATATGACCTGATCCATGGCTGGTGCGGTGGAAATTTAAACGAGGAGGCTACCACCGTCGCCGGCGTCGTCGCCGTAGCCGCCGCTGCAGATAGCTAATCGACGGAACGCTGAGCCCTACTAGAGTTAATATTGATGGGATAGGTCGCAATCTAGGGGGAAAACGACGCCCAGTATAGTGGGAACGGGAGCTTGCAATCGAACGGCATGCGAACTTGCGTATCAACGCACCGCGGCACGTCCTCTCAGCACGATCCAGCCATGGATGGTCAGAAACTCCGCTCTTCCTGAACAAGGTGGTTCTTTACAGATTTCCAGATTTCAGCTGGACAGTAGGAGGCACCGTGCACGAGGTACAATCCCGAGGGACCACCCGCATCGATTGTGTCGGCTCGCCAGAACATATAGAGAGCACATAGTGTAAAAGGAGGAAACTTTTTCATACTTCTCTGTAACGGCAGAGAAAAAATGGTATATGCTTTTTCCCTGGTGTCCACTTAAAAGCACTGGAAATTTTATGAAGATCAGCATTTAAATGCGTCAAAAAAAATTTAGATACTGATATCCAGCATCTCCTTTCTTAGCAGTTTCACTGATCAATAATCACGTCCATTGTCGTATTATGTTATGATAAGAATGGTACATCATTGTCGGGATTATCACTGTAATGTATTAGCGGAATGTTTCCACTGGTACAGTAGTTGGTATACCCTAGGAACTGGACACATCAGGTTGTATAATTAAACAATGATTTTCCCCAAACCAACGAGAAGGAATACGGATTGTGCCTATGGGCTATGAATGGGCACGTAATAGACCATTCATAAGCACGAGAGGTATCTAAATGCTATCAGTTCATACGGCATTAGCAAAAAATATCTCTTCTTGGTCGCATTTTCTTGACGACCGGCGGTAACTCAATGTCACTTTTTCATTTCGACGGGCTAGGGAATGACGTTGCTCAAGTTTGATAATTCACATGCATGTTTATTATGCATGACGTTTGATGAGGAATAAATGGCAGTGTGAAGTGTTCCAATAGATTTTCACTCTCAAACATAGAAGAGATAGAATTTTTGCATAACTGAATGAATACTCTTACGTACTTCGACAAGATGTTTTTACTTTAGTTTTGTTATTTTCCTGTCTTCAGTAGCCTCAGTTAGCACTACTGCATACAGAATGTTGATTTTAACATGCTAATATGTTTTTTACATGAACATGAGAGACCACGTTACTTTATACATAGAACCTCACATGGACAGCCATGAACCCTATGACGATCAGCTCACTAGCGCTCCTCCCACGAGGCCTGGAGGGAAACAAGTGCGGCCCCTGCGGAGAGTCACTACACAACGGGAGTGGACTACGGAGGAGGGCACGGGGTTGTGCGAGTGATCGTAGCGCTCTGCTAACGTTCTTGCTGCTAGCAAAACATAGTTGGAGGGTGACAATAGTTTCTACTAAGGAAAGATTAGAGTACAATTGAGGCATGCAGAACAAAAGGACTAGAAGGACATGCAACACCTAGCAAGGGCGAAAGCTGCCAGTGCAGCAGAAGAGCAGCTTGCCAACGCTACAGAGTAGTCTGCCAGCGTTACACTGCACGCGGTCTGCCAGCACTGCAGTCACATGTGACTATCTGCAGCCGCAAGTTGACTATCTGCGTAGATGTGTTCACCTACCAAGTAGGTGCAGGTTGGCGGTTTCACCGTCAGGCACATTGCGCAGGTGCCAGGTAGAAAACGTGTCGTCGGTTTCGCCGGGTGGGCACCGTCGACCACGAGATGCCGTTCCGCAAGTAGAACTTCCCTAAAACCTCCTAGGCGAAAGTTCGCACGCCTCCGCAGAGTTTCGCACAACTCTGCAACTTCGGTCGATCAGCTCGACTCTGCTCGGTCGAACAGCGTTCGCCGAGCAGAACTTCTCGACCAGAACTTTTCGACCAGAGCTCTTCGACAGGAGATTGTCGCGCAGAGATCGTCGACCAGAGCTCGTCGCGCAGAGCTCGTCGACCAGATTCTGTCGAGCAGAGCTTGCTTGACCGCAACTTCTGTCGAACTGCATAAGCATACTTCTTCGACCAATCCTTCCAGAATTTCCTGTCGACGGCGAGTTCGGCTTCGCCCAAGCGAGGGTGGGGCCTTTCTCTTCGACAACCCCCACTCACAGAGCTCCCCCCACGTCCTTAATGTCCTTCTACTCCCTGTCCGCCAAATCAACATCCACTCATTTTAGTGACGACGCAACACGAAATGGGATGTCCCGAGCCTTGACACACTACAAGGTTACGCTAGTCATAGCCTTCAAGGATCCCATGAGATTTTGGGAAAAATACTAGTAGTTTTCCCGACATGCCCTCCTCCCATATAGCAAGCCCAAAATGCGCATTTCCTCGCAATCAACGCATGCGTCTCTTATTATAATATTATTGGACGCATATTGTAAGGATTTTTCGACATTTCTTACCGACTCCTCAACATCGCGTATAGAACGAACCTTTTCTTCGTCCGTTACTACTAGTTGTGTTTCGCCGCCTTCGCGTGTCACATTTCCCAAACCATGCATCGCTAGACCGACCAATAACAGCCTACGCTTCAGGACTAGCCCGAACCTCGCTAATGGCATCGCACTAGCTAGCTCACACGTATTGCGCTATGAATATTCTTTCATGCCTTCGCTCACATTTGTACTCGTTTGTCAACTTAGTGCAGTCCTTGCCATCTCGATACATGGCACGGGTAAAACATGGTAACAGGAGACATGTGTTATAAGGTACCAGTTGAGGTTGTGCATGAGAGTGTTACACGCCCTAAGTAGTCCGACCAACATGGCGCCAAGATGGCGATTGCCAGCATGGCGCTCCTCGTTCCGTGGATATCAGCGAATAGAAACAATCGATTTCAACGTCCACCAACGACCCTCCAAAGCAAGAAGCGAATCGCCGAATGCAGACTGACACAATGTGGGGGTCACAGCCACTTATTCCTGACGGCCACGTGCCACTAATGGTGTCTTGGCTACTCCCCATTCCTGAACTGGTGCGCACGCGGCGGTCCGCGTCAGGTTCGTGATGCCGAAGCTTCAAGAGCGTTCCGAAGCGTAGCAAAAGCGAACTGAAGTGAGCAAGACTCGCAGTAAAGGTCGTCCATTTTGACACGTATACCAGCGCAGGTTGTGTAATCTGAATTTCTCATTGACCTTGGGGGATCGTGAATACGCCTCGAAAGTTCCTTAGGACTTCTCAACTGAACAACGGGAATCTCCCGGCCCGCACGAGGCTCCTAGGAATCACATCTGAAACAGATTCTCTCGGAGAACATCCCTGTCAGCTCTCTCTTTCTCACCCCAGTCTCCAGTGCATGTATTTTCTACGGCCAGCGAGCTCCACTTTACTTGCACCTGGCACAATTACGTCCACTCACACATAGTGTTGTCAGCGCGCTTCTTACATCAGGAATTAGTTTTCCTTCACGTTTCCTTCCGGCGTTTACTCACGGTACATATAAAACTGTAAACTATCTCCCTCCGTGAGCATCACGTAAGCATATACAACCTGTCGTAGTATATTAAAAGCCACCAGCTATCATAACTCGTTTTTATTTCCAGGGCATGTTAAGAAGAATTGCGAGGTCCCTCCCACGTAGCTTCCTGTTTCCGCACTCACACTGCACGCCTAGCTGCTGCTTCGCCGATACAACAAGCATCGGCGCGCTTAGGTTCCACACCCAGGCAGCTCTACCATTCGACGCTCGAATTCCGTCGCTGCGCTCGTTTTCAGCGTCCGCTTCGCTACCGGCATCGGCGTTGGCGTTGGCATCGGCGTCGGTTTCAGCTTCGGCGTTGCCTTCGCCTTATCGCCATTTGCCTTGTGCTAACCTCGTGTCACCACCAGTCTCCTACATGGCCTCCCCCTCTGCTCCTTACCATAGACCTCTCCTCAGAATCCTTACTCAACCACCAGCATCAGTCGCTCCCTTGTCGTCCTGCCGTAACGCGGTCCGTTCCATCCCGTCTCCTGTCTCCGCTCAAAGGAACTTTAGTTGCCGTGCCGTATCCGGACAGCTAGTAACCTTTTCGCGCTTTTCCTCCTGGAAGGTCCACCCTAGAGTCCATTCTCGGCAGGCGCACGTGCGCTTGTCAGTAGGGACGTCTTTAATTCCCATCACCGTGGCCATGTCCGCTTCTTCAACCTCCTCAGCGGCGTCGAACAGCAACAGCAGCACGAGCAACGGGGGTGGACCGAACAGAACGAACAGAGGGAGCGAAGGAAACGGAGGAGCAGCATCGTCGGAGCTGCACAGGCAAAGGATAGGGCCAGCGGGATTTAGATTGAGCTCCGCTCCTTCTCCGTCTTCTCCTACTTCCTCCGCCGCCTCCGCTTCTTCCTCCTCCTCCTCCTCTTCTTCCTCCTCTTCCTCCTCCTTCCCGTCCTCGTCAACAGCACCCGCGACAGCAGCTTCTGGCTCGTCCTCTCCGCTTATTTCTTCTTCTTCCTCCTCGTCTGCTTCGTCTTCTGCTTCCGTTGACGGTATGACGAGCAACCCTTCGTCGTTCCTTACCGCGTTCCGGTCGCGCGGGGAGGAGCAGCAGGCGGTTACGAGATCGGGGATGGTTAGGGAGGCTGGGAGGCAGATGAGCGGTGAGAGCGACGGCAGCAGCAGCAGCAGCAGCAGCGGCAGCGACGACGAGCGCAAAGCTGCGACGACGGCGACGGCGACGGCGACGGCGACGGAGGTCGCAGAGAGACTGCGCGTGTCGTCGAACGAAGAGCTGATGAAGCGTTGGAAGCATCTACCGACCCCCATAGGCCCGGAACCCACGGCAGGCGCGGAAAAGGACGACGCGACGCACCAATGGACGAGCGCCGTGTGGGCTAGCGCGATCGACCCGCGGCGGCATATCTTCTGCAATAGGTCTTTAAATATGAAGAGTATCGAGGCGGTGGGGTTTGATATGGACTACACGCTGGCACAGTACCGGCCAGATACGTTCGAGTCGCTGGCGTATAGGGAGACGGTTAAGAAGCTCGTGTACAGCCTTAAATACCCTGATGAGGTGAGGCTTTGAAGCGAGTACGACAAGGCATTGTTGCGAGTTTCTTTCCCGCAAGGTGAGTCCTTTGTGACAGCGGTGAAACACAGAAGAGAGTGGAGAGAGGTGGTGGCTGTTATGCAAGACAGTGGCAGCTAGGGAATGATAAAAATTCAGCCTTTCATAAACGACTAGGCTGTAATTTAAAGCTTGGGGACTGTGCACTTGTTACACGTCAGATGTTCTTGTTTTTAGTTTTCTTCTCACACCTTCAACCGCACCTTCGCACGGTGTTCCGTCATCACGTGATTGTGTGTGTGTGCATGTGCATGTGCATGTGCATGTGCATGTGCATGTGCGTGTGCATGTGCATGACTGTGTTTGCGGGCGTGCAGCTGCTGCTGTGGAACTTTGACTGGCGCTACATGGTGCGAGGGCTTGTGCTGGACAAGAAGCGAGGCAACATACTCAAGGTGCCGTTTTTGCATTTGCTCTTACCCCACTGCTGCTCTGGTCCTACTCCTCATCCCTCCTCCCCGCTCCTCTTTCCGTACCTCTCCTTTCCCTTGATGTGCTTTTGCCTCTGCCTCTTTTCTGTGCCTTCCTTCATGCGAGAGTTGAAAAAATGACAGCTGGAAATGGGGATGTAGTAAAAAGAAAACACGCACACACACAAGTCCTTATTGAAACCACCCCCCCATATCCTCTGTGTCTTGCCGTTTTCCCCAGTTACCCTATTCTTCTATTTCCCCTTCCCCCCATTTCCCCCATTCCCCCCATTCCCCCTTTCCTCCACTCCCCCTATCCCGCCCCCTTCTCCCTATTCCCCCCACTCCCCCATTCCCCCTTTCCACATCTCTTCTCCTCCGCCCACGTTCTTCCCACTCTCCCCGGTTCCCCTTTCTCCCCCCTCCCCCACTCTTATTCACTCCCTTGATTCTCCCGAGTTCCCCCATTTCGCCCGCCCTCCTCAACTTCCCATTCCCCTCATCTCCCCAATCTCCGTTTCTCGCCATTCCGCGTAATCCCACGTCCTGCCTCCTCATACCTGATCCTATTCTCCTCCCACACACCTAGTACTATACCACTCCTCCCCCCCCCCCCCCCCCAACGCACCAATGGACCGGCACAAGTACGTGAAGGTGGCGTATCACGGCTTCCAGGCGCTCTCGCAGGAGGAATCTGCCGCCTTTCACACCATCCTGCCACTCATTCTCAATCCACTTTTCCATCCCACCATCCAACCGTCTACCCTCGACACCCGCGCCCCCTCCCCCTCCACACACACCCTCCCCCAACGCACCAGATGGACCGGCACAAGTATGTGAAGGTGGCGTATCACGGCTTCCAAGCGCTCTCCCGGGAGGAGCGGCGGGCCACGTACACAGACACGCCGCTACGAGAGTCCTTTGACGAGCCCGACTTTGCTCTCATCGACACGCTCTTCTCGCTCGCTGAGGCGTACCTGTTTGCCCAGCTGGTGGAGTTTAAAGACGCTTTCCCCGACCGGATTCCATCCACCAGGTGAGGGCGAGGGAAACAAGGAACAAGGAACAAGGAACAAGGAACAAGGAACACGAGTTTGTGCTCTCATCGACAGGCTGTTCCCCCTCGCAGAGGCGTACCTGTTTGCTCAGCTTGTGGAGTTTAAGGACGCTTTTCCCGACCGGATTCCGTCCACCAGGTGAGGGCGAGGGGAACAAGGAACAAGGAAGCGGACTTAGGGCTATCATAGATGCCCTCTTCTCCCTCGCCGAGGCGTACCTGTTTGCGCAGCTGGTGGAGTTTACAGTCGCTTTTCCAGACTAGATTCCGTCCACCAGGTGAGGGCGAGGGGAGAGGGGAGAAGGGAGAGGGGATAGGGGTGATGGGAGAGGGGAGTGGGGAGAGGGATAATGAGCTTGCAGGATGGGGGATTGAAGGGCGAGGATTTTTGGGCTGTGAGCAGTGGTGGAGTATCGATATGCTGCTCTCGGTGGGGCAAAGGAGGGACCTGTTTGCACAGCTGGTGGAGTTGAAGCGCACGCCTTTTCTCTTTCACTTCCTCTTCCCTTCCGTCCCTCCCTCCCGGCAGCTATGCCATCATCATACACAGGCTTGCGTTGCGTCACAGAGCAGAGCAGTCCCTGCAGGCTGGAGCCAGTCACTCCCCCCATTCAGTGATTCCCCGTCTACCACTTATCCCTCCCCTTTCCCCCTCCCTCTTACCCTTCACCTCCCCCGGTAGCTATGCCGCCATATACCGGGATGGTGCGAGCAGCAGTGGACCTGTGCCACAGAGAAGAGTCTGTTCTGTAGTTGCCCCCCACGTCTCCCTTTTGAGGCGCCTCAAAAGATAGTGCAGGCAGCAGTGACACTGTGCCACAGAGAAGAGTCTGTAGTCGGCCCCTCAAACCTCCCTCGCCTCCCCCTCCCCCCCACACCCCATCCCCCCCGCTTACCTCCCCCCGCCCCCATCTCTCCCGACAGCTATGCGGTCATGTATCGGGACGTGCGGGCAGCAGTGGATCTGTGCCACAGATCAGCCTCTGTAGTCGCCCAACCCTTTTTCCACCTTCTCCCCCCCCTCTCCACACACCCAGCTCCCCTTGCGTACCTACCACCACACCACCCCGCTTCCCCCTTTTCGTAGTCCTCCTGGCAGCTATGCGGCCATGTACTGGGACGTGCGGGCAGCAGTGGATCTGTGTCACAGAGCAGTCCCTGCAGTCAGTCAACCCTTCCCCACCCTGTCTTCCCCCGCCTACCACGTACCTCTCCCTTTCTCCCCCTCCCTCTTACCCGCCCCCATTTCTCCCTGGCAGCTATGCGGCCATGTACCGGGACGTGCGGGCAGCAGTGGATCTGTGTCACAGAGACGGCACACTCAAGAACGCAGTTGCCAATGACCCCGCCAGGTGAGTCTGGTGGGGACACAGGTGTGCCTTGTAAGGCGGAAGGCATAAGGACCCAGGGCGAGGCGGATCACTTGTGGGGATGGGTTGGGTTGGGTGAGAGTGAGTGGTGAGGGACGTGCGGTGCGGGCAGCGGTGGATGTGTGCCACAGAGACGGCACGCTCAAGAACGCAGTTGCCAATGACCCCGCCAGGTGAGCCGAGCGCGTAACGCGCAAGGCACAAAGCATAAGGCACGTAAGGAGCAAAGCGCAGAGCACCAGGCGTAGGGCGCAGGGCGCAAGGAGTGAAGTGAAAGGAGTGAAACGCAAGGTGTAAGGGGCCTTGGGGGTACGGTGCAAGGGCCCAGGGGGATTGCAAGGGGGTCCAAGCTCGAGGGCTTCGATTCGAAGCCTCGTTGGTACATCACACGCATTGCTGTGTGGTGACTCACATACATGCATGGCGGCGGCAGGTATTTCCCAAGGAAGGAACGGCGGTCTCGAGGAAATTCTGCAGATGCTGCGAGCCTGCGACTGTTGAGAATTCTCAGAATTCCTCTTCTCACCATGCCCCCGTTGCTCCTAGTCCTCCCATGCCCGCCTCCGTCTCCTTCCCGTGACTCCAGGTACATCACAAGGGACGATGAACTAGTGGACATGCTGCAGATGCTGCGACTGCTGAGCATGAGACATTAGTCAACTCCTCTTACCCTCCTGGTCTCACCTGCCCTCCCCTCTCCATGCATGGCACTGCTAGGTACATCACAAGGGACGATGAGCTAGTGGACATGCTGCAGATGCTGCGAAACTCGGGCCGAAAGACATTCCTCGTTACCAACAGGTGATTTTCTAGGCGCCTAAAAGCGATCGTCTCTCGTCCCCGCTGCCTGCCCGCCCTCTCCAGCTTCTCTCTGCCTCCCCTTCCGCTCTTCTCCCCATCTCCCGTTTACCCCGCCTTTGCACGGCTACACTCTACTCCTCCACTCTTGCATTGTCCTCCCCAACCCTGCATATTTGTTCCGAGTCACACGTCTTCCCTCACTCCTTTCCGCCTACTTCCAACCCTCTCACACCCGCATGGCAGTCTGTGGGACCACACACACGAGGTGATAAACTATTTGATGGGCAACTGTAAGACTCACTTCGTCTCTCACTCCTCCTCGCCCCACCCCACCCGACTCAACCCACCCGCATGGCAGTCTGTGGGACTACACGCACGTGGTGATGAACTACCTGGTGGGCTGTGGGATGGAAGTATACTTCTTCTCTTAACACTTCCTCTCTATGTCTGTTTCCTGCATCCCGTCTCACTCTCCCCCGTGCATGGCAGTCTGTGGGACTACACGCACGTGGTGATGAACTATCTGGTGGGCAACTGGAAGACTTGCATCGTCTCTCACTCTTCTCCACCCCACCCCACCCCATCCCACCCGACTCCACCCACCCGCATGGCAGTCTGTGGGACTACACGCACGTGGTGATGAACTACCTGGTGGGCAACTGTGGCACACGGCACGGCAAGCCAAGGGATTACTCTTGGCTCTCGCTCTTCGACCTTGTCATCACGGGCAGGTGGGTTCCGGGTGGGCGGGTCACGGGTGGGGGGTTGCGTTTGAGTTGCTTTTATATTGGGCAAACAGCACGGCAAGCCTAGAGATTACTCTTGGCTCTCGCTCTTCGACCTTGTCATCACGGGCAGGTGGGTTCCGGGTGGGCGGGTCACGGGTGGGGGGTTGCTTTTGAGTTGCTTTTATATTGGGCAAACAGCACGGCACGCCTAGAGATTACTCTTGGCTCTCGCTCTTCGACCTTGTCATCACGGGCAGGTGGGTTCCGGGTGGGCGGGTCACGGGTGGGGGGTTGCTTTTGAGTTGCTTTTATATTGGGCAAACAGCACGGCAAGCCTAGAGATTACTCTTGGCTCTCGCTCTTCGACCTTGTCATCACGGGCAGGTGGGTTCCGGGTGGGCGGGTCACGGGTGGGGGGTTGCTTTTGAGTTGCTTTTATATTTGGCAAACAGCACGGCAAGCCTAGAGATTACTCTTGGCTCTCGCTCTTCGACCTTGTCATCACGGGCAGGTGGGTTCCGGGTGGGCGGGTCACGGGTGGGGGGTTGCTTTTGAGTTGCTTTTATATTGGGCAAACAGCACGGCAAGCCTAGAGATTACTCTTGGCTCTCGCTCTTCGACCTTGTCATCACGGGCAGGTGGGTTCCGGGTGGGCGGGTCACGGGTGGGGGGTTGCTTTTGAGTTGCTTTTATATTGGGCAAACAGCACGGCAAGCCTAGAGATTACTCTTGGCTCTCGCTCTTCGACCTTGTCATCACGTGCAGGTGGGTTCCGGGTGGGCGGGTCACGGGTGGGGGGTTGCTTTTGAGTTGCTTTTATATTGGGCAAACAGCACGGCAAGCCTAGAGATTACTCTTGGCTCTCGCTCTTCGACCTTGTCATCACGGGCAGGTGGGTTCCGGGTGGGCGGGTCACGGGTAGGGGGTTGCTTTTGAGTTGCTTTTATATTGGGCAAACAGCACGGCAAGCCTAGAGATTACTCTTGGCTCTCGCTCTTCGACCTTGTCATCACGGGCAGGTGGGTTCCGGGTGGGCGGGTCACGGGTGGGGGGTTGCTTTTGAGTTGCTTTTATATTGGGCAAACAGCACGGCAAGCCTAGAGATTACTCTTGGCTCTCGCTCTTCGACCTTGTCATCACGGGCAGGTGGGTTCCGGGTGGGCGGGTCACGGGTGGGGGGTTGCTTTTGAGTTGCTTTTATATTGGGCAAACAGCACGGCAAGCCTAGAGATTACTCTTGGCTCTCGCTCTTCGACCTTGTCATCACGGGCAGGTGGGTTCCGGGTGGGCGGGTCACGGGTGGGGGGTTGCTTTTGAGTTGCTTTTATATTGGGCAAACAGCACGGCAAGCCTAGAGATTACTCTTGGCTCTCGCTCTTCGACCTTGTCATCACGGGCAGGTGGGTTCCGGGTGGGCGGGTCACGGGTGGGGGGTTGCTTTTGAGTTGCTTTTATATTGGGCAAACAGCACGGCAAGCCTAGAGATTACTCTTGGCTCTCGCTCTTCGACCTTGTCATCACGGGCAGGTGGGTTCCGGGTGGGCGGGTCACGGGTGGGGGGTTGCTTTTGAGTTGCTTTTATATTGGGCAAACAGCACGGCAAGCCTAGAGATTACTCTTGGCTCTCGCTCTTCGACCTTGTCATCACGGGCAGGTGGGTTCCGGGTGGGCGGGTCACGGGTGGGGGGTTGCTTTTGAGTTGCTTTTATATTGGGCAAACAGCACGGCAAGCCTAGAGATTACTCTTGGCTCTCGCTCTTCGACCTTGTCATCACGGGCAGGTGGGTTCCGGGTGGGAGGGTCACGGGTGGGGGGTTGCTTTTGAGTTGCTTTTATATTGGGCAAACAGCACGGCAAGCCTAGAGATTACTCTTGGCTCTCGCTCTTCGACCTTGTCATCACGGGCAGGTGGGTTCCGGGTGGGCGGGTCACGGGTGGGGGGTTGCTTTTGAGTTGCTTTTATATTGGGCAAACAGCACGGCAAGCCTAGAGATTACTCTTGGCTCTCGCTCTTCGACCTTGTCATCACGGGCAGGTGGGTTCCGGGTGGGCGGGTCACGGGTGGGGGGTTGCTTTTGAGTTGCTTTTATATTGGGCAAACAGCACGGCAAGCCTAGAGATTACTCTTGGCTCTCGCTCTTCGACCTTGTCATCACGGGCAGGTGGGTTCCGGGTGGGAGGGTCACGGGTGGGGGGTTGCTTTTGAGTTGCTTTTATATTGGGCAAACAGCACGGCAAGCCTAGAGATTACTCTTGGCTCTCGCTCTTCGACCTTGTCATCACGGGCAGGTGGGTTCCGGGTGGGCGGGTCACGGGTGGGGGGTTGCTTTTGAGTTGCTTTTATATTGGGCAAACAGCACGGCAAGCCTAGAGATTACTCTTGGCTCTCGCTCTTCGACCTTGTCATCACGGGCAGGTGGGTTCCGGGTGGGCGGGTCACGGGTGGGGGGTTGCTTTTGAGTTGCTTTTATATTGGGCAAACAGCACGGCAAGCCTAGAGATTACTCTTGGCTCTCGCTCTTCGACCTTGTCATCACGGGCAGGTGGGTTCCGGGTGGGCGGGTCACGGGTGGGGGGTTGCTTTTGAGTTGCTTTTATATTGGGCAAACAGCACGGCAAGCCTAGAGATTACTCTTGGCTCTCGCTCTTCGACCTTGTCATCACGGGCAGGTGGGTTCCGGGTGGGCGGGTCACGGGTGGGGGGTTGCTTTTGAGTTGCTTTTATATTGGGCAAACAGCACGGCAAGCCTAGAGATTACTCTTGGCTCTCGCTCTTCGACCTTGTCATCACGGGCAGGTGGGTTCCGGGTGGGCGGGTCACGGGTAGGGGGTTGCTTTTGAGTTGCTTTTATATTGGGCAAACAGCACGGCAAGCCTAGAGATTACTCTTGGCTCTCGCTCTTCGACCTTGTCATCACGGGCAGGTGGGTTCCGGGTGGGCGGGTCACGGGTGGGGGGTTGCTTTTGAGTTGCTTTTATATTTGGCAAACAGCACGGCAAGCCTAGAGATTACTCTTGGCTCTCGCTCTTCGACCTTGTCATCACGGGCAGGTGGGTTCCGGGTGGGCGGGTCACGGGTGGGGGGTTGCTTTTGAGTTGCTTTTATATTGGGCAAACAGCACGGCAAGCCTAGAGATTACTCTTGGCTCTCGCTCTTCGACCTTGTCATCACGGGCAGGTGGGTTCCGGGTGGGCGGGTCACGGGTGGGGGGTTGCTTTTGAGTTGCTTTTATATTGGGCAAACAGCACGGCAAGCCTAGAGATTACTCTTGGCTCTCGCTCTTCGACCTTGTCATCACGTGCAGGTGGGTTCCGGGTGGGCGGGTCACGGGTGGGGGGTTGCTTTTGAGTTGCTTTTATATTGGGCAAACAGCACGGCAAGCCTAGAGATTACTCTTGGCTCTCGCTCTTCGACCTTGTCATCACGGGCAGGTGGGTTCCGGGTGGGCGGGTCACGGGTAGGGGGTTGCTTTTGAGTTGCTTTTATATTGGGCAAACAGCACGGCAAGCCTAGAGATTACTCTTGGCTCTCGCTCTTCGACCTTGTCATCACGGGCAGGTGGGTTCCGGGTGGGCGGGTCACGGGTGGGGGGTTGCTTTTGAGTTGCTTTTATATTGGGCAAACAGCACGGCAAGCCTAGAGATTACTCTTGGCTCTCGCTCTTCGACCTTGTCATCACGGGCAGGTGGGTTCCGGGTGGGCGGGTCACGGGTGGGGGGTTGCTTTTGAGTTGCTTTTATATTGGGCAAACAGCACGGCAAGCCTAGAGATTACTCTTGGCTCTCGCTCTTCGACCTTGTCATCACGGGCAGGTGGGTTCCGGGTTGGCGGATATGTGGGTTGAGAGTGTGGGTGGTTGCCCAGTGGGTGAAATTGCGGGTGCGTGAGTAGGTGGATGGATGGGTGCTTTCGAGTTCCCCTCAAAGCGAGAAGGCACAGCACCCACCCACTCCTCTCACCCTCTCCCCATCCTCTTCATTCCCATTCACATGTATCGTGCACCTTTTTGTTGCCTCTCCACAGTGCGAAGCCGGGTTTCTTCCTGAACACGCACCGGGCGCAGATATACGAGGTGGACATTCGCTCAGGCATGCTGTTCAACACTGACAACGGCAGCCCCATGGCGCAGGTGAGAGAGAGGGGAGAGGGGGAGGGGGGTGGGAGGGTAGAGAGCAAGCTGCGTGACCGAGGTGTACTGACAAAGGCAGCTCTATGGCTCACAGATATACGAGGTGGACATTCGCTCGGGCATGCTGTTCAACACTGACAATGGCAGCCCCATGGCCCAGGTGAGAGAGAGTGGGGGGAAGCGACACCAATATTACTAAGAAAGAAGAAAGGTAACTGGGTTCTCCAAGTACTATGTCTTACTTGCTCGCGGTGGCGCCATCCCCATCCCCATCCGCATCCCCATCCCCATCCCCATTCGCATCCCCATCCCCATCAGGTGGGCGGTATGGGTGACACCATTGCTGTGGCACAGCGTTCGGAGCTGTCACAGCCGTGCAGAATCTTCCAAGAAGTTTTTGAGGCGCCTTAAGAAGCCGTCCCCCTTTCTCCCTGCCCATCCCGTGCAGGTGGGCGGTATGGGTGACGCCATAGCTGTGGCACAGCTGGCGGAGCTGTCTCAGCCGTGCAGAGTGTTCCAAGGGGGAAGTGTGGGACACCTGCACAGCATGCTCGACATTGCTGCTGGCGCACAGGTGCGAATGACTATTGGATAGAGTGGGAGCGATTAAGGAGGCAGTAGGAGAAGCTGTGTGCCGAGTGTTGTTTGCTCCGAGAAAGCAGTGTGAGGCACCTTCACCGCTGCGGCTCGACATTGCTGCTGGTCATGCAGCTGGACAATGCTCCTTTTAAGTCGACTCGAAATGCGTGTGTACTCCTGCCCATGCATGCATGCACCTGCGGGTGCTGTACGTGCTGCGGTGCTGCGGGGCGACCACATCGCTGGTGACTTCCTCTCTTGAGTCGACAAGAGACAGAATGCATATATTCCATCTCCCTCCCATGCATGCATGCATGCACTTGCAGGTGCTGTGCGTGCGTAGGTGATCTTTGGTGGTGGCATCCTCTTGAGTCTGTACGCAAAATGCTTGTGCATGGGCGACCCGAAATGCTCATATTCCGTCTCCTTCTCTCCTGCCCATGCATGCATGCATGCACGTGCAGGTGCTGTACGTGGGCGATCACATCTCTGATGACATCCTCTTGAGTCGGCTTGAGAGTGGACTTCAATCTGCATGTATTCTATCTCCCTCCCTCCCTCTCTCCCGCTCATGCACGCATGCACACGCAGGTGCTGTATGTGGGCGATCACATCTTTGGTGACATCCTTCGATCCAAAAAGTCCCTCGGTATGTTGCTGTGGGTCATGGGTGATGGGGCGGGCTGCGGGTCACACGCTCTTTTGCTCAGCATGCCCCACCATCAATCAATCTCTGCGCCTCTCAACGCCATGTCAAATCCAGTGCACTAAAGCACCGCTTTGGCTTGTCGATACTTTCTGAAACGATCAAGACTCCACCCAGCCACACAGGGGGGGGATGGGCCAGCCAAATTGACGGGAAACATAGCAGGGACGAATGGAGGACCACGGGACGAGACGAGACCAATCGTTTGGAGTGTGCCGCGCCTTGTTTTTGCCGCTTTTTTTCGCGTTCTCCTCGCTCCTCCTCGCTGTCCTCCCTCCTCATCTCCATCCACCATAATGCATTTGTGCACCATGCGTGTTGTGTGCGCATGTGTGGGTCATCCCAGGGTGGCGTACCATGCTAGTGGTGCCTGAGCTGGTGCGGGAGATTCACGTGCTCAAGACCACTCTTGATCTTCGCCAGGTGTGTTGCTGCTCTCTGCTCTCCGTCTCCCATCTCTCTGCTCACTCACTCCGTGCATATCATTCTTCGTGCGTGCGTGTGCGGAAAGGAGGAGGGAGGGACATGTCCGCTGAGTTTGATTGTGAAACAGGATGGCCCAAAAATGTGTTTCCAGTATAACATCGGACCGAATGTATCAGTGTGGTGGGAGACGTCTGCACGATGCATAATGTGGCAGGTGTTCACTGTGCTGCACTTCCATAGTTGAATGTCTCCCTCTGTTTTATGCAAATCTTGTCATCCTGTTTTGTATCCACCCATAATATCCACCCATAATATCCACCCATAATATCCACCCATAATATCCACCCATAATATCCACCCATAATATCCACCCATAATATCCACCCATAATATCCACCCATAATATCCACCCATAATATCCACCCATAATATCCACCCATAATATCCACCCATAATATCCACCCATAATATCCACCCATAATATCCACCCATAATATCCACCCATAATATCCACCCATAATATCCACCCATAATATCCACCCATAATATCCACCCATAATATCCACCCATAATATCCACCCATAATATCCACCCATAATATCCACCCATAATATCCACCCATAATATCCACCCATAATATCCACCCATAATATCCACCCATAATATCCACCCATAATATCCACCCATGATGGACATGTCCTGCTCTTCCTTCTCCCCTTTCTCGTCTTTGTCAAATGTTTCCCTCCACATCCCGTCTGCTCCATTCTTACTGTTGAGGCGCCTCAAATTTGTTTCCCACCGTATCCCATCTGCTCCGCTGCTACTTATCTGCCTCATTTATGTGAAACATGCACCCTTCCCTACTCTGCCCGTGATCACTGACTGTGAGAGCAGGCATTTCCATCACCTGCAACATTACATCGACTCTCTCGATGATAACATTCAGCAACTCTTTGATTCAACTCAGAAAACATCCACCCCCCCTTATTATCCATCGTCACTGACTGTGACTACAGGCGTTTCATCACCTGCGGCATCAGATCGACTCTCTGGATGATTCCATCCAACGACTCAGCTGGGCCATCAGGTGACACGCCCTGATGCTGCACCATGCCATGCCATGCCATGCCATGCCGTGCCATGCCATGCCATGCCATGCCATGCCATGCCATGCCGTGCCATGCCATGCCATGCCATGCCATGCCATGCCATGCCATGCCATGCCATGCCACGACACACCACACCATACCACGCCATGCCATGCTTGTCCTGTCTGACAGCATACATTCTGCCCCTCCATGGCTTGGTTCATCCCTACATGCATGGCTTGGTTCATCCCTACATGCATGGCTTGGTTCATCCCTACATGCATGGCTTGGTTCATCCCTACATGCATGGCTTGGTTCATCCCTACATGCATGGCTTGGTTCATCCCTACATGCATGGCTTGGTTCATCACTACATGCATGGCTTGGTTCATCCCTACATGCATGGCTTGGTTCATCCCTACATGCATGGTTTGGTTCATCCCTACATGCATGGCTTGGTTCATCACTACATGCATGGCTTGGTTCATCCCTACATGCATGGCTTGGTTCATCACTACATGCATGGCTTGGTTCATCCCTACATGCATGGCTTGGTTCATCCCTACATGCATGGCTTGGTTCATCACTACATGCATGCCTGCAATGACTGACTGGCCCATGCTCATGACATATTGTTGAACCCTGCCATAACCCTGCGTGGGTGCACCCCTGTTGTGGGCTGTAGGTTTGAGAGGATGGACGAGGGGAAGAGGCAGCAGCTGGAGCAGGAATTGGCGTCCCTGCAGGTGGGTTGGGTGCAGCCTTTGGGTCATGCAACCGTGAAAGGTGCTTGCATGTTAAGAAGCTCGAGACGCGGCATGTCGGGTGTTTGAACAGGCGTATCTGAATGGCCACTCTACTGAAACCCATTGTATGCCTTCTAAACGTACTGTACCAGGGCTAACCCCCAAAAGTGTGTTCATACAGCGTGTTGGGCTTGATGTGTCGCGTCCTTAGGCATTATGACTGTTAAAACAAATTAGGGAGTGCTGTAGACCCGTGTGCGTGCTGGAGGATGTTCCCTTTCCATGATGCTGCAGGGTACGTTTGAGAGTTTTCACAAATACCATGCAGCGTTCTGAAGGGTGTTCTCTCCATTTGATTAGTGTGATGTTGTTTCCCTCATATGTAGCTGTGTTAAGTGTACATGCCACATTTTCGGTTTCAGACTAATCAAGCATTGAAGTGTCAAAAACTGATTGCATGCCATGCCATCTCATAGCATGCACATGTGCCAGTGTGTACGTGCATGCGTCTTTCTCTCTCTCTCTCTCTCTCTCTCTCATTCCCTGTGTTTCGTCCTATGTGAGCAGGCTCAAAGGGAGGCAGCAGGGGTGCAGCGGCGTGAGACCATGCAGCAATGGCACCGACAAGTGAGTTCACGCATGCGTCAACCTCTCTTGAGACGTCTCAAAAACCTCTCTCCGTGACCCTCCCCCTGCCTCTCCTGTTCAGACACCCTTCTGGTTTTATTTCCTCTCGAAGCAACCTCTCCAACCCCTTCCTCTGCCTCCGCTGTTCCCTTTACACTCGAAGCAAGATCTCTGCTTCCTACATTTGCCTTTACACCCGCCCTCCCCGTGCCATGTGGTTTGCATTGCATGATGCGTGCACAGTTCCATCCTGTGTGGGGCCAGCTAATGAAGACAGGTTACCAGAACTCTCGCTTTGCGCACCAGGTATGCTCCTTCAGCACTGCCTTAGAGAGATTGTGTGTTTGTTGTGTTTTTTTTTTTTTTGTTTTTTTTTTTTACCCTGCTCTTTTGAGGATGCCAGGCTTGATGTCTGGGTGATTCTCGCACTCCCTCTTGGCTTTCTTTCTGTGTGGGTTGCCTGGCTGTGGATTTGCTTCTGTCTCGGTATCGTCCTGACATTGGTTCTTTGATTTCTGTTATATCCCATCCGTCCAACAAACCCTGTTTGGCATGACACAGGTTGAGCGTTTCGCTTGTCTGTACACCAGCCATGTTACCAACCTAGGTTACTACTCCCCAGACAAGAGTTACCGCACATGCGAAGACTTCATGCCTCATGAACTAGACATTCTTGACATCTGATGGCAACACTACTTTCTAGGTAGAAGTAACAAAGAAACAAAAGAGGCATTCTGTGCAATGCTCTATATATCCCATACCAACCTGGCATTGATTTTGAAGCTGTTGGTTAATTTGGCATGCGAATGCTTATTATGAAATCTCGTCAAAGAAGAGAGTGCGCAGAATGCAATATCACGGAAGTGATTACAACTATTGACGAAATAATGAGGCCCAGCATTGATATATAGCTAGAGATGTTCGGAGGGCGAGGCCGTCGGACTCTGAAAGTTGGAAGTGTACGCGCATAAGGTGCCTCAATAAGGAACTAGGCAAAATTCCTTGCACTGCTAAACCTTGATGCCAATGCCAAAAACTGATGTTCACGTAGCGAAGATGTTATTCCCAAAGCCAGTTCAATGCCCCCTGACTGGAATCTCAGATTTGTACTCATGCTGCGCATGAGATCTGTAGTGCTGACCGTCCGATATTTCCTTCTCTCTCCCCGATTCCATCAATCTGGGAGTGATGGGGGCAGCCACGCTCGTGTTTCCGTGGGTTCTGTACACCTCACGCAACATTTTGGTTTTCACGAAATTAGACCCCGAAAATTACACATCAGTAAACAATAATGTGATTCTTGGTGGACGCAGCACTTTGGTATGCAGCACTAGACCCCAGAAATTGCATGCAGACCTATTCTCTAAGTACCACCCCAACCCAACTGAACTTGGGGAAATAGTGCTGAGACAGGCAGAGGGGCGCGGCGTTGAGATGCCTTCCCGCTTCTCGAAGCATCAGTCCAGCCGTCGGATCAGGTGATCCGAGGGCCCCGCTGCTTCCTTCCTCCACCCCCCTGCCTCCTCCTACCCCGTCAACTCTTCCCTCACCGCCAACGTTCCCCCGTAAGATTCGACTCTTCCATTCTTTTCGCACTTCGGCTGGTTGAGCTTTTCTGATCGGAGTAACTTCCAGATACTGCACTCTTGGGAACTACGCTGTTCTGTAGCCTTTCCCGCACGCTTACAGCTCACTGATTCCAGATTCGTCGCTCCTGAGCCGCCGGATACACTGATCAGGACTAATATTTTGTTTGTGCGGCTTGAGTTCCGCGGACCTTACAGCTGTGGGTGCTTCCCGTGGGTTCTTTTTAGGGGGATTTGGACGGTAGAGTATCGCGACCGCTTCTATTATCAGTCCACCATGTTGGGGGAGATCCTTAGCGTTCAGCCTGGAGAGTTGAAATTCCCATGTGAGTATGTCGCTGACGTCGTTATATTAACCTTATGGATTGTGCCTTGGGTGCTACGAACGCATGTTTCGTTTGCCACAGATAACGCTTTGTGCAATAGAGTTCTCCTCTACTTCGGTTACAGTTCACCGTGTTCTTGTTTCTATTGATCATATATTTCCGGATCAGCGACAGCTGACTTACGGCAGCGGAGTTCTGATCATGTCTCATCGATCCGCGTTGTCTGGACTGTTGCCTAGCAAGATTCGCGTGACTTCGCTGACGATCCGTGTATTCGTGCATCCAACGAAACGCCGTACATTTATCATTTCGTCGTCTGTGCAGTCGAGCTTCGGAAACAAGTCTCGACGTCCCTCCGACTGGTGAACGTCACATCGGAATATGTGGCCTTCAAGGTGAGTTGCACTAGCAACTTCGAGCACTCACTGCATTACCACCTCGTCTCGTTCCTTTCCGCATCTATCGCTGTTCATTTTCCCATGCTGTTCTCGCAGATCTATCTCGCTCCCGTCCCCCCGTTGCACTTTCCCATCTTTTCCCTTTTCCTCCTTTCTTCCTGCTGCCTTCCTCCCTCGTTTTCTTTTCTCTTCCCCTCCCCCCCTCCCCTCCCCCCCCGTTTCCGTCGTCAGGTTAAGACGACCTCCCCTAAAAAGTACTGCGTGCGGCCCAACACGGGTCTGGTCCCCCCTCAAAGTAGCGCCGAGGTTGTCGGTACGTATTCTCCGATCCGATCCCTCAATCATCTTCCGCGTACTACCGTCGCTGTTTCTAAGACGCCCCCAAAGCAGGCTACTAGCTACTGTTGCAGTCGGCTGATCTTTTTTTCTCCATCGTCGCTTCTTTTCATCCGTTCGATCTGTGATCGCTCCTAAGCGTGTGTCTTCTTGGCGTGTTTTTCTGCCTTTTTTTTTTCGGTATTCTATAACATGGCGCAGTGACGATGCAAGCGCAGAAGGAGATGCCGGCGGACCTGCAATGCAAGGACAAGTTTCTCGTCCAGAGCGTGCTCGTGCCGGGGGGGGCTCCCAAGGAAACCACGCAAGACTTCGTACGTTGCGCATCTATTTGCCGCCTCAAAATAGCAATCGTTTCATTCAGTCCTCATCATTCCGTCTGCTCGGCGGCATGCTTCCACTGTTGCACAAAGGTCCTCCTTCATGTATTTGAGAACTTAGTCCTCTAGTGCAGGCGCCTTCTTCCTGAGATTTCTCGTTTTGTCCTTCGACCCACGCGAATTGTTGGGGTTAACGGGCTTGCAGTTCAACAAGGAGAACGGCCGGGAGGTTCACGAGGTGAAATTGCGGGTGATCTACGTGGCGCCACCTCAGCCGCCGTCACCCGTGGCTGAGTCAGCCGAGGAGGGTGTCATTTCGCCCAGCCCGTTCCCCACCAGCACCAAGGGCCTCACCCCCGCTGATCCCGTACGTCCGACCGCTTCTTCGCCCAGGATTAGCTTAAACTTCGTTCCTTTCCCCTGCAACTCCTCCCTCTACTCCCTCTGCTTCAGATTGTTTTTTTGCGCACCCTGCTGCCAACCCCCCTCTCTCTCCTCCCTCCCCCACTGTTGCTCTTCAAGTAATGAACCCAGTCGTTCTTTTGACCTCTTCTCCCACCTCTTTGTTTTCACACTCACATACACAAGGAAGCGGACATTCACTAGACCCAGCTAAACGCACGCACAGAGTTACTCGAGCGTTAGAGCATTGTCACACGTCAAGTGTGTGCAGCATTGCCACCAACTTGACGCACCTACTGCTCCTCCTCTCCTGCCCTCGCAATGTCCTTATGTCCGATTCTCTGTTATGCAGAGTGCAAAGGACGTGGTGGAGCTCAAGGCAAAGCTTACAGAGGTATACGCCATGTCGCTTTCCTTGCATTGCAGCTCTGCTCTCCCTTCCCCACCAACCCACACCATCTCCCTACCCTCAACCCACACCATCTCCCTACCCTCACCCCACCCCCACCCCCTCCGCTTCCGTTTACCGCTTCCGCTTTGTCCCCTCCCACTCACTTCCACACAATTGCATTCATATTTTTCATCCGCGGATCCTGATATGCGTCCTCATTTGTCACTCTTACACCCGCTATTCTTGTTGGTACGCTACTTCCATTTAGTTAGACCGTCCCTGGGTCGAGACTTACAACACCTGTTATTTTCCCCGTGATGTTGACAACTTTACACCAGGCCAAATCCGCGCTTGCTCAAGCCACAGAGGATCGCAATAATGCAGTGCGGGAGGTGCAACGCCTCAAGGTTAGTGCTGCTTGCTGATCTTTCAGACCATCAAGTTGTGGGTGGGTGGTGCTTGCCGGCTCCACTGATTGTGAGTGCATTGCAACAGGAAGGAAATTAGTGATGGCAGGATGATGCTTTCTTGTTGTGTTTGCTGAAGCGTGGTGAAGGATAGTTCATGAGGGAATGCATGCTTCTTTCTCTGCAGAGCAATATTGCCATCTTGCTCGAATCTGTTCCGAGTATCTCATATGTTTTTGTATTTCCTCCTCGTTCTCTGCACTTCCACTTTCCAGAGCAACTTGTCTGGGCAGGGGCAAGCGAAGCAGGGTGGGGGCGGGTTCTCCTTCATGACTCTGCTTGTGGTGGCACTCATTTTCTTCCTCATCGGTTTCCTTGGAGCCAAGGGCATTCTGCCGTTGCCTGGTCTCTCCCCTGCTAGCTCATCGGAGCTATGAGTATGACCAACCGAGCTACCGAGCTACTGTGCTTGGGTTTGTGGGTGGAAACGTGATACCTAGGCCCATGGAGTCATACCGTAATTGTTAAATCGGGGGTGGTACAGAAGATGCATGTGTGCGATATGTGTTATGTATGGAGCTTTATTTAGGGGCTCGAGTGTAGTTGCGGGAGGTAGTTTTATGTAGAAACTGGGTAGTGGGTTATTGTGCTGGCCAAAGGCGGTAAAAGAAGTTACGTGTACACAGTTTTCAGGTCCTTGACATTGATGTAGACTCGATAACATCGAAATTCATTTTACAGTCCTTTATCTAGATGTACTAAACTGGACAGACAATGACTGGAGCGATTTTAGTATTCAATCAACAAAGTGAGTAGAGCTAGTAGCGAAACAGATTGAACGAGTACATACTCGTTCCCGCCCGCTCCAGCGCTGGCAAGTGTCCCCCATTCACAACACAAGAACGAACGGCACTTGTGTTGCAGTCGCGCCCGTGTTGTGTTTTACATACCGCCTTGCTCCCTATGCTCGCTCGCGGTTCCAGCATCCTGACTCTGGTCCGCCGATCTTTCACATGCGATCAGCGCCGCACCACCATGGACGTAATTAATAGCTCGCGTCACTTCACCGTCCACAACCCCTCGCGCCTTCTTCAGTTACCGAATTCCACTCGTTCGTATAAATCAACGGCGCTGCGAGCATCAGTTACTAATGGAATTCCGCTTCTCTCCGGAATTTGCGCTGGATTTCGCGTAGGCCTGTTGCCACGTCAGACGTATGTCGCCGCTGCTAGGGCCGTCGGCCAGCGGCAGCTCGGCGCACAGCAAAGCGCGCTGGGGGGGATGCGATTGGCGGAAGGGATTCGCGCGCCACATGGTTGCAAGTACTCTAGTCGCAGCGGCGCATTCTCCGGCGCAAAGGTTGCGTCCGCGGGCGGAATTGCGCGCGCTCAGCTACCTGGCGCGGAGGAAACAGGCGCAACGGTGGCGGAAGAAGAGGAAGTAGCGAATGAGGGAGCGGACGAGGGGGAAGGTGGGCGCAGGCGGAACAGTCAGGGGAAGCCCGGGGGAGAGCCAGGCGCTGGGAACTGGCAAGAGGGGGAGGCGGAACAGTGGGTGCGTGCAATGCAGGCGCGGGGGGACAGCAGCGGGGAAGGTGCCGTTGGCGGAGATCGAGGTGTGGGGACGCGGAAGCCGCGGAAGGGGGAAGAGCTGGAGCTGGTGTGCGATAGCCTCGCGTTCAAAGTGAGCCGTTTTTGAATCCTCCAAACCGTTTCAAACCTATCCAAACCCCTTCCAAAGCCCTCAGACTTTTGAAAAACCTTAAATCACCAACGCACTTCCAAACCCTCACACGACCTTCTCATTTTATTTTCTCCACCAGCCCTGCGCACTAGCCTCTGCTATGCTCGCGCGCTAACATGCCCACTCAGTTAAACCCTCTTAAAACCCGATATCCCCTAAACCCTCCACCCTCACCTCCCAGGGTTTGGGCGTGTGCCGCGTGCCTGAGAGCGGGTTCGTGGTTCTGTGCGAGCGTGCGTTACCAGGGGAACGGCTGGTGGCTCGGATCGTCAAGACCAAACGGCAGTTTGCAGAGGTGAGGTGATTCTTTACACGCCACAGAGAGTGATTTCGTGCTGTGCGGGTGTGCGTTACGAGGGGAACGGTTGGTGGCTCGGATTGTCAAGGCCAAGAGGCAGTATACGGAGGTGGGCGAGGTGATTCTGAAGACGTCTTAAATCGCAGGTGGTATGTACGCGTGGTTGAAAAGAGGTGCGCTTTGAAGTTGTAGTGATTTACGCGCCCTTAACTTCTGACGTCTTAACCTTCCTTGAAGATGTTTCTCACGCTTGTTCTGCCTCGCCCCTTCTCTTACCACCTTCCCCCGCTCCCCCGTCCCCCTCTCCCCCTCTCATTCCCCTCCCCACTTTCCCCCGCAATTCCCCCCATTGCCCCCGTCCCCAGGCGTACAAGGTGCGTGTGCTGTCCCCCCACGACCACGCCACCACCCCCCGCTGCCAGCACTTCGGGCACTGTGGGGGCTGCCGCCTGCAGAACCTGGAGTACGAGGCACAGCTGCGCATCAAGCAGCAGCAGGTGAGGGGTTTTGATACGTTTTAAAAAGGATGGACGAGTTGGGCTTGCAGGGCTGGTCTGTGCGTGTTAGCGTCACTCCTCCTTTGTCGCCAGTGGCGTTTCTTTGTTCCTTTCTTTTCCAATCATCGAGTCGACTGCTTCTTTTGTCTCTTATTCTGTTTGATCTGTTTTGCACGTGCGAATGTGTGTGTGTGTGTGTGTGTGTGTGTGTGTGTGTGTGTGTGTGTGTGTGCGTGTGCGTGCGTGTGCATGCGCGTGCGGGCGTGTGCATGCGTGTGCGGGCGTGTGCATGCGTGTGCGTGCGTGTGCATGCGCGTGCGGGCGTGTGCGTGCGTGTGCTGCGTGCGTGCGTGTGCACACCAGGTAGCAGAGCTCATGGTTCGGGTGGGCAAGTTCACCCTAACCCCATCTCCTGAAGCCCCAACCACGGCACCAACACCATCACCGCCACCAGCAGAACCACAAGAAGGAGAAGCAGAACCACCACAGGAACAGCAGCAGCAGCAGCAGCAGCAGCAGGAAGGTGACGCTCCTGTGGAGCTAAGGGAAATCATAGGATGTTCCGAGCCTTACCACTATCGCAACAAGGCAAGATTCCCCTCCTTCCTTATCACACTCTATCCCACTCCCAGTCCCTCCTCCTCGCTACCTGTCCTCACTCGCTCTCTCACCTAGAAATATATTTCTGTCCATCTGTATTGCCCAACGTGCTCTATTCCTCGCCCTGTTTCTCCTGCCTGCTCTCCTGTTTTCCGCTCACTCTACCACTGTTGCTCACCCACTCACCCAAATCATTCTCAGTCGCCCACTCTTCCCATTCTCTGTGTGTTCTCTCTCTCTCTCTCTCTCTCTCTCTCTCTCTCTCTCTCTCTCTCTCTCTCTCTCTCTCTCTCTCTCTCTCTCTCTCTCTCTCTCTCTCTCTACCACTCTTATCCCTCAGATGGAGTTCTCTTTCAACTCTCGTGTGTGGCTCCCCCCTTCCGACATGCCCGAGAAACCTCCTCGTTCGCACACGAGAGGCGCAGCAACGCCAGGAGCAGAAGCAGCAGCAACAGCACCAGACTCAGCAGCAGTAGCACAGGCAGCAGCAGCAGAAGCAGCCACCGGAGAAAGCGGGAGTGAGACCGAGGGGGAGGGAGGCGGCGAACTGAGGGAGGAGAGGCAGGAGGAGAGGCAGAAGCAGAAGAAGAAGGGGCGGGGCGGCAGAGGCCAAAACGTGACCCCAAACCCAGGAGGCTTTGCCCTGGGGCTGCATGCACCGCGGCGGTTTGACAAGGTGCTGCCGATAGAGGAGTGCCACCTGCAGCACCCCACCGCCAATGAGGTCAGTCTGTTGGACTACTGGTCTCACTCGGTCACTCGGTCACTCGGTCGGCCGGTTGGTTGTTAGTTGTGGCTCTTCAGATACTGCCTCTGCAGTCCGCGGCGGTTTGACAAGGTGCTGCCGATAGAGCAGTGCCACCTGCAGCACCCCACCGCCAATGAGGTCAGTCTGTTGGACTACTGGTCTCACTCGGTCACTCGGTCACTCGGTCGGCCGGTTGGTTGTTAGTTGTGGCTCTTCAGATACTGCCTCTGCAGTCCGCGGCGGTTTGACAAGGTGCTGCCGATAGAGCAGTGCCACCTGCAGCACCCCACCGCCAATGAGGTCAGTGAGACAGTTAGTCAGCAACTTGGTCAGTCAGTCAGTCAGTCAGTCAGTCAGTCAGTCAGTCAGTCAGTCAGTCAGTCAGTCAGTCAGTCAGTCAGTCAGTCAGTCAGTCAGTCAGTCAGTCAGTCAGTCAGGAAGTTGTTCGGTCAGTTGGTATTTGAGAGGCGCCGTAGAATCGCCCTCCGCGGCGGTTTGACAAGGTGCTGCCGATCGAAGAGTGCCACCTGCAGCACCCCACCGCCAATGAGGTCAGTCAGCCAGTCAGTGCGCCGGTCTCTCTGTCTGTCCAGTTAGCTAGTTAAACAGTCAGTCAGTTATTCAGTCCGCAAAACAACCACTCAGCCCTGCTTCCTTCCCCCTTCTTCACCTTGCTCCCCCCCCTGCTTCCTTCCCCCCTGCTTCCTCTCTGCCTCCCTTGCTTGTCCCGCTTCTTCCCCCCCCTCTCCAACAACTTTCCCTGTACGGGTCGTGCAGATTTTAGTGCATGTGCGGGAGTGGAGTGAGCAGCATCAGCACGTGCTCCCGCCATACGACCCTATCACCCATGAAGGCGTGCTCAGACACCTCACCATCCGCAAGGGCCGGTGAGAGGGTGGGTGGGTTGTGTTGGTGTTTGCATGGATGTGTGCTCGTGCGCAGGCGAGCGTGTGTGCATGAGAGCACACACGACCCCATCACCCATGAGGGCGTGCCGAAATCACTTTTGAGAATTCTCAAAAGTGATTTCGATTTCCAGAAGTGATTTCGATACGACCCCATCACCCATGAAGGCGTGTTGAGACACCTAAAAATTTGCAAGGGCCGGTGAGAGGGTGGGTTGATAGGTGGGTGGGTGGGTGGATGTTTGGGTTGATGAGTGAGTGGGTGGGTGGGTGGGAGGGTTGTTGTTTATATGCCTGTGTGCATGTATGTGTGCATGTATGTGTGCATGTTCAAGTCTGCTTGTGAGAGGACACATGTAACATGCCCCCCATCACTACGAGGTCGTGTTGCGACACCTCACCATCTGCAAGGGCTGGTGCGTGGGTGGATGGATGGATGGAAGGGTGGAAGGGTGGGTGGGCAAGTGGTGGTGGTAGGTTTCTCTAAGCGATCTTTTGAGTCGACTCAAAAATCACCTCACTTGAGTAAACTCAAAAGTTTTCTCATTTTGAGTCAACTCAGAAGGGTGGGTGGGCAGGTGGTGGTAGTAGGTTTCTCTCTATGTGTTCATGCGCTCATGCCTGTGTACATGTCTTCCATGTGTGCGCGTGTGTGCATGTCTGTATGCAAGCAGCGATGAGCGGACAGGAGAGGAGGAGTTCATGGTGGTGCTCGTAACCAAGACAGACTGTCCTATCCGCTCTGCCCTGCATTCCCTACCTGCCTCCTCAAAAGCTGTGTGTGCTTGCGTGTGTGCATACCCGTGTGCATGCAGCGATGAGCGGACAGGAGAGGAGGAGTTCATGGTGGTGCTCGTAACCAAGACAGACTGTCCGGACCTCCTGCAACCCCTCGTTGACCACCTCTCCCAGGCCTTCCCTCGTTTGGTATGCTCTCTCTTTCATGTCTTTGTCTTGTAAGCTTTCTCGGTTGTTGTGCACCCACCACTTTGTTTTTTTTTCTTCTTCTTTTTTTTTTTCAAACTGGGGTTCTTAAAGCCCGTACCCAAAGTTGCGCAAGGTTAGTGATCTTGCGCAAGGTTGAGTGAGGGGGGGTGGGGGTGGTGAACGCTAAGTCGTGGGAGGTGTTGGGAGGGTGGCTTAGTCTAATTTCGCCCTACCTATCGCACCACTTGTTTTTTTTTGGCTGAGTCAGCAATCTCCAGGGGCCGGGTGAAAAATTCCACTTCCCCTCTGTCCTTCCTCCTCCCCTTCCCCCTTCCGCTCTCCCCTCTACCACAGGTCAGTGTGATAATGACCACGAACCCCTCTCTGGCCGACGCCACACCCCCCAACGCCCTGGAGGGACTCCTGCTGGGGCGCCGGGTGATCAGCAAGTCTCCATTTCCCATCTTTTCCCATATCACCTTCCCCCCCTTCCCACAGGTCAGTGTAATAATGACGGTGAACCCCTCTCTAGCCGACGCCACACCCCCCAACGCCCTGGAGCGGCTGCTGCTGGGGCGGCGGGTGATCAGCGACTCGCTGCGCTCTCTGCACTTTGACATCTCAGCCGCCTCCTTCTTTCAGACTAACTCGGATCAGGTCTGTAGAGTAGAAAACCAGGGTGTAGAGTGGTGAACCCTGTAACCCCTGCCTGCCTTGATTTGGTTGACACACACCCTATGAGCACCCTGCTCCCTAGGAGGTGACTGGCAGCACCCTGCCGGTGCTGCGCTCTCTGACATCTCCGCCGCCTCCTTCTTTCAGACCGACTGCGATCAGGCTAGTACCGTTGCCTGCCTGCCTGCCAGCCTTGTGTTGAGGCACCATATGAGGTAGCTAGTTCCACTGCCGGTGCTGCGCTCACTGCACTTTGACATCTCCGCTGCCTCCTTCTTTCAGACCTTGCTGCCTGCCCGCTTGCACGCATGTCTGCCTTCTCGGGAGGAGCGAGATCCACCTTGCTTTATGTTTCAATGCTACGAATTATCTTCTCTTTGTCCCGTTCCCGCACCCCTCCTCATCTCGTATCTCTCCCAGGCGGAGGTGTTATACGAGCTGGTGGAGCAGGCGTGTGGTCTCAAAGTAGACGGCAGCTGCTGCTGCTGCTGCTGCCGCTGCTGCCGCTGCTCCCCTTTCTCCTGCCTGTTGCTCTACTCAACAACTCCCTTCCCTCTGCCTCAACTCTCATCTCGCCCAGGCGGAGGTGCTATACAAGCTAGTGGAGCAGGCATGTGCACTCAAAGGTTACGGCAGCAAGCTGCTGCTGCTGCTGCTCCCCTTTCTCGTGCATGTTGCTCTACCCAACAACTCTTCTCCGTCTGCCTCATCTCTCGTCCCCCACAGGCGGAGGTGTTATACGAGCTAGTGGAGCAGGCGTGTGCACTCATGGGGGACGGCAGCGAGTTGCTGCTGGACCTCTTCTGTGGCACCGGCACCATCGGCCTCTCCCTGGCCTCCCGGTGAGTGCTGTGCTGCCATGCAACCATCAAGAGCTGACCTCTGAGTCGACTCAAAAGTCCTCGTGGTGAGTGCTGTGCTGTGCTGTGCTGTGCTGTTCTGCTGTCAAGGGCACGTGCCTGTGCGCTTGCTGCTGCAATGCAAACCCGTATACCCCCCTCACATGCGCAAGGCACACCCTCTCCCCTCCCCTCCACTCACCCACCCATCGTCCAATCAGGGTGCGCCACGTGTATGGGTTCGAGCTGGTGCCAGAGGCGATAGCAGACGCGCGTCGCAACGCGGACCGCAACGGCATCACCAACGCCACGTTCCTGACACTCGACCTCAGCAAGGCACTGCCCACCCTGCCCAGCGGTGCAGCTGCTGCTGAAAAGAGTAGACCCGATGTGATCATCACAGGTACGATCTGTGTCAGTGCTTCAGAAACGTGTAGCTGCAGCAACGGCATCAACGCCATGCCACGTTCCTCACAGTTCACCTCAACAAGGCCCTTCCCACCCTGCCCAGCACTGCTCCCCGCTTCTGCTGGGCATGGCAGGCCAGATGCTGTTGAGGTCACTTCTGTGGCTACTGCAGAGTGTGTTAAGTCGATTTTTTAGTCGACTCAAAAATGCAGATGCTGTTGAGGTCACTTCTGTTGCTACTGCAGAGTGTGATAAGTCGATTTTTGAGTCGACTCAAAAATGCAGATGCTGTTGAGGTCACTTCTGTGGCTACTGCAGAGTGTGATAAGTCGATTTTTGAGTCGACTCAAAAATGCAGATGCTGTTGAGGTCACTTCTGTTGCTACTGCAGAGTGTGATAAGTCGATTTTTGAGTCGACTCAAAAATGCAGATGCTGTTGAGGTCACTTCTGTTGCTACTGCAGAGTGTGATAAGTCGATTTTTTAGTCGACTCAAAAATGCAGATGCTGTTGTGGTCACTTTTGTTGCTACTGCAGAGTGTGATAAGTCGATTTTTGAGTCGACTCAAAAATGCAGATGCTGTTGAGGTCACTTCTGTTGCTACTGCAGAGTGTGATAAGTCGATTTTTGAGTCGACTCAAAAATGCAGATGCTGTTGAGGTCACTTCTGTGGCTACTGCAGAGTGTGATAAGTCGATTTTTTAGTCGACTAAAAAATGCAGATGCTGTTGAGGTCACTTCTGTGGCTACTGCAGAGTGTGATAAGTCGATTTTTTAGTCGACTAAAAAATGCAGATGCTGTTGAGGTCACTTTTGTTGCTACTGCAGAGTGTGATAAGTCGATTTTTGAGTCGACTCAAAAATGCAGATGCTGTTGAGGTCACTTCTGTGGCTACTGCAGAGTGTGATAAGTCGATTTTTAGTCGACTCAAAAATGCAGATGCTGTTGAGGTCACTTCTGTTGCTACTGCAGAGTGTGATAAGTCGATTTTTTAGTCGACTAAAAAATGCAGATGCTGTTGAGGTCACTTTTGTTGCTACTGCAGAGTGTGATAAGTCGATTTTTGAGTCGACTCAAAAATGCAGATGCTGTTGAGGTCACTTCTGTGGCTACTGCAGAGTGTGATAAGTCGATTTTTAGTCGACTCAAAAATGCAGATGCTGTTGAGGTCACTTTTGTTGCTACTGCAGAGTGTGATAAGTCGATTTTTGAGTCGACTCAAAAATGCAGATGCTGTTGAGGTCACTTCTGTGGCTACTGCAGAGTGTGATAAGTCGATTTTTAGTCGACTCAAAAATGCAGATGCTGTTGAGGTCACTTCTGTTGCTACTGCAGAGTGTGATAAGTCGATTTTTTAGTCGACTAAAAAATGCAGATGCTGTTGAGGTCACTTTTGTTGCTACTGCAGAGTGTGATAAGTCGATTTTTGAGTCGACTCAAAAATGCAGATGCTGTTGAGGTCACTTCTGTGGCTACTGCAGAGTGTGATAAGTCGATTTTTAGTCGACTCAAAAATGCAGATGCTGTTGAGGTCACTTCTGTTGCTACTGCAGAGTGTGATAAGTCGATTTTTTAGTCGACTCAAAAATGCAGATGCTGTTGAGGTCACTTTTGTTGCTACTGCAGAGTGTGATAAGTCGATTTTTTAGTCGACTCAAAAATGCAGATGCTGTTGAGGTCACTTCTGTTGCTACTGCAGAGTGTGATAAGTCGATTTTTGAGTCGACTCAAAAATGCAGATGCTGTTGAGGTCACTTCTGTTGCTACTGCAGAGTGTGATAAGTCGATTTTTGAGTCGACTCTAAAATGCAGATGCTGTTGAGGTCACTTTTGTTGCTACTGCAGAGTGTGAGAAGTCGATTTTTGAGTCGACTAAAAAATGCAGATGCTGTTGAGGTCGCTTCTGTGGCCACTGCAGCCTACAGATCATCGCAGGTATGATCTGTAGGCTGTAGTAGCCACAGGGGGGGAGGGGGGGAGAGGGGGGGGAGGAATTGGAGGGGAAGGAAAAGGAGGGAAGTGTGCAATCGACTAACCAGTCTCTTCTCAGTATACAGAAAAGGAGGGTATTCTCAGTGCTTCGCTAGAATACCAGAGCCGATGTCGTCATCACAGGCAGCCGGAGGTTCCCCCGCATACCCTTCCCCCCTCTCCTTCTGTCCCTCTGTTTCCCTCTCCTTCTCGCCCTTTCCCCCTCCTTCCCCCTCGGCATCAGACCCGAATCGGCCCGGCATGCACCCGCGGTTATTGAAGCACATGGCGGAGGTGAGGGCACCGCGCATCCCCCTCTTTCTTCCCCGTTTGCCTCATTCCCTCCCCCTCCCCCTTCTTCCCTCCCCCACACCATCAGACCCGAACCGTCCGGGCATGCACCCGCGGCTGTTGGAGCACATGGCGGAGGTGAGGGCGCCGCGCACCCCCCTCTTTTTTCCCCCTTTGCCCCATTCCCTCCCCCTCCCCCTGCTTCCCTGCCCTTCCCATCAGACCCGAACCGGCCGGGCATGCACCCGCGGTTGTTGGAGCACATGGCGGAGGTGAGGGCGCTGCGCATCGTGTACGTCTCCTGCAACCCCGCCTCCATGGCTCGAGACCTGCACGCACTCTGCCACCAGCTCCCTGTGAGTCTGCTTTTGAGTCGACTCAATCGCGCCTCCTGCAATCCCAAGCGCCTCCTGCAATCCCAAGCGCCTCCTGCAATCCCAAGCGCCTCCTGCAACCCTGCCTCCATGGCCCGCAACCTGCACGCACTCTGCCACCACCTGCCTGTGAGTCTCTCCCTCCCTCACGGGTATCTTTTGACTCGACTCAAATGCGTCTCCTGCAACCACCCCCCCCTCAATGACCCGTGATTTCTCCTGCAAAAGTTATCCTGCATGCTCTCTGTCAGCTGCTCATGAGCCCGTCCGTTTTGCATGAGTTACTAAACAGTAGCATACCACTAGCTCATCAACAGAATCTCATGAGGATCTTATGGAAAGCCTACGCCGCACCAACGAGAATAGGACGGGTATCACCTGATTGGGTATTCACTCGCGTTCGTGTTCGTGTGCGTACCCTGCATCCTCGCCACATCATGGCTCGGGATTTCCATTTTCCACTTTCACATCCTCCTCTGCTACCAGCCCTTCCATTCCATTCACTCTGCCGGCAACTCGGCCGTGCCCGTGCCCCAATTGTCCCTCTGACTTTTCCTTTTCCCTGATATCCCTCAACTCCCCTGACTAGTACTGTCCTCTCCTCTCCTCTCCTCTCCTCTCCTCTCCTCTCCTCTCCTCTCCTCTCCTCTCCTCCTGTCTTCTCTCCATCTGCACCTCCTCTCCTCTCCTCTCCTTGCTCTGAACAGAGTGGGCGTCCGGGGCCGTACCGATTGGAGTGGATACAGCCTGTGGACATGTTTCCCCACACACCCCACGTTGAATGCGTGGCTGCTCTTGCACTTAGATAGGGCACTCACATGGATGACCAGTCATGTTGGTTTACATTTCTGCACATTTACGGTACTACTGTATAGTGGAACGCGTCAATGAGCACATTTCAAAATGTTAACTTTATCACCCGCTAAAGCATGCGTACATGTGCTAGCCTGCCTTAGTAGCAGTTGATCATTTGCTCGGCGTGCTCAGGAAAAAGCTGAATATGACATGTAAAGCAAAATTCACTAGGTGTTTCTTCCGTGTTTGTAATTGATTAACAAGAACTCAGTACTTCGGATGAAACTTCTTTCTCCCCGATTGCGGGACCCCGAATCAGGGTTTTTTTGTTTCTTTATCTACAGTGAAGTGCTCAGCAGCAATTGTATCGCTGGCCGCGTGGCGTTGGTGTTGTCTGTCGTCTCTGTGGATAGCATTTGCTGCTTGTGTTTTCATCATTATGCATGAAAGCCCACGTGTCAAGCACGGTGGGTATTCACTGCAAGGTACAGCCTAATCCGCCGAAATTCACCCCCCTAGAAAAAGGGCCTTTCCCTGAGTTGATGAATGGACTTGAGGATAAACGTTATGTCAACTCCAATCGTCCCCGGTTTCAGGTTCACAAACAAAGCCTCTCTGTTGGATACAAACACATTCTCATTGAGCTGGTTTTAACTTTGGTCTCTCATAAGAGTTTGGGGGTTTTGCCGTTTGGCTCGCTCCCGAATTGACACTGACCGCTGCGTGGGAACGAGAACGTGCAACTTGAAATGCTTTCTTAAACTGGGTTTTTATTTTATATAGACCTGTAATATGGTCGTACTGCCCACTCCACCAATTGCAACTCGCAAGGCACACCCCAGGCGACAAGTGGACCACACCGAAACGCAAGCCATCATTGTTTTCTAGTACATACGCACCTTCTGCCTGAGAAGGTACAGTAAACGTCGACTCGCCTCACCATCCGTAAGAACTTGACCCGCTTTTCTAGTTTTATGCAATAATGTTTACCTGTAAATTATTCACAAAATTCTCACATATGTCTATTATAGTTGCCCGTAGGACTGTTCACTGTGAAAGGCTTCCTTGAAACCGCGTCCTGCCGTGCCTCGCCGCAGCCAGCTTGGCTTGTAATACTGCCAAACCACTCCACCAACCATCTTCTGCACCCGGTCCCCCCCGGGTTTGGCCTTGCGCACGATTCTACCACATCCGCTGCTATTTTCGCCTATTTTCGCCTGCTGAATATTGCTTTCGTCTGATTTCGCCTGGTCTCACTGCCAGACCCTGCCCCACTAGGCCTGTGTGGATTCCTCCAAACCAGCAGACACGCTTCACCAGCAGCAATTTGAATCGACAAGCCTGATTCTTGTATCCCAGTGTCCCCCACGCCTGGATACTACAGACAGCTCGATAGCCAAAACCACCGCCAAATCGATCTTTTATACGCCTCTCGCACTTACGTGTATCTCTCGCTCTCGTCCTACCACAGTTGAGAAATATTCTCATGGTCCCTAGGATTGATTGCATGCCTCTCAGGCAAGAAGAGCCATGTTGGCCCGTAACGTATCTCCATGTCACGCCAACACTTCCAGTCGGGCAAAGCACTCTAGCAGAATGTAGTCCTTCTCACGTTAGCGGTCGGGAATCCATGGGCCTTATCTCGCACGCGCAAACGGTGTCCAGGCTTCCGCCAAGTGGGATTAGTAGTAGGCACGGGGCGACGAAGCGACAAAAAGGACCGATTCGCCAGCAGTCGGCTCAATCAGAGCAGTCCGTTCTTGCGAGCGAAGCGCCGGGAAAAGGAAACGTTGGAGTTTCGTTTGGAAGGCAAAAAGATTCAAACGATGGTGACTTGGACCAGTACTCCCAGCAACGGCAGCAACCGCAGCAGCACGAGCAGCAGCACGAGCAGCAGCAGCAGCGTCAGCAACAACAGCAGCAACTGCAACAGCAGCAGCAGCAGCAGCAGCAGCAGCAGCAGCAGCCGTTTCGGCCCCTGTCAGCTGGTCACTCTCGTTCCGCGAGTAGTCCTACTCAGCAACGCCAATTAGCCGCCGAGTTAGCCGTTAGCGTATCTCCATGTCACGCCAACACCGCCACCGCCACTAGTAACTCTGTCAGTTTCGGTGGCTCTGGCTCTAGTTCAGGTGCCGCATTCGGCGATACCCCGCTAAGAACCGATTTGAACGGTGCTACTGATTTGAACAGCCCGCGCCGCGCAAACGAGCGGCGAGGGCAGGGAAAGCGTCGAAGCCGGCTAGCGACCACCCGGCGCAGCTCCCGTTGCTCCCCGCCGCCGCTCGCCCCCGCGGGAGTTCTCCCATCCTCCCCCTCGCCCCAGTCCCCCGCGCCTGGTTCTTCGCTCCCCGCGTTTCCCTTTCCTCTCTCCCAATCCCCCCGACAAGTCTTCGACTCGGCGCAACCGTCTATCCGCAATTCAACCTTCTACCCCACCCACCAGGTTCCTTTGCCCTTCTCCCCCTCTCCGCGCGCCTCTCCGCGCGCCACCCTTTGCGCCACCCCGCGCGCCACCCCGCCCGGGACTCCGCTTGCGATCCCCGTGGGTCGGGCGCCCCGTAATAACGACGATTCATTGGCAAATAGTAATTATGCCGTCGCGGGGTTGAACCCGCGACTGTTACTGTCGCGAGGAGCCGGGTCGCAGTTGCTGCATCCGTCGTCGTCGATCAGCCGGATCTGGACGCAACCGCGAGCCGACTCGGATTTGAGTCTCCTTACTTCTAGAAGTAGCGACGCGGTTTCCGGGAGAAGTGGCGGTTCTTCGAGCGCGCGTCGGGAGATGCGTTCCGGGAGCTTGGAAGGATGCGCGGAAGCGGAAGGATGCGGGGAAGCGGAAGGATGCGGGGGAGCGCACGTATGCAGGGGAAGAGCGGGTCCCACGGGGACAGTGTCGGCGCGTAAACGTGGCCAGTGTGGGGGAGATAAGCGGCGGAAGAGGCGCGAGACTGCGGAAATGCACGGGCTAGGAGTGGGGCGCACTCAAACAGAACGAGGGGAATGCGGGGACGGGGGAATCAGAAGCCAAGGGGGAGCGAGCGCATGGCCTTGTGAGCGGAATGAACGGGGCGGAGGATCTTCTCAGGGAGTCTTTGGGGCTTCCGCGCATCCGCGCGCGTGTGTCCCCCCTGCGTGTGTTTCCGCCACGCGCGGGTCCGCCGTGCAAGTTTCCGCCAGGTTCTGGGAGGCCCTGCTAGGCGGCGGAGGCACGGGGGAAGGCGCGGAGGGGGAAGTGCTGGGGGAGGAGGCGCCGGGGGAGGTGGAGGGGAGAAGCGGGGCGTATGGCGGGAGAGAGTGCGAGGAGGAAGGGCGTGAGGGTACATTGTGTGAGAAGAGAGTGTGTGTCGGATGCAAGGCGAAGAGGTTTGAGCAAGATCCGGCGAAGGAAGGGTGGATGGAAATAGGAGGTGTGGGTGGGGATGTGGATGGGAATGTGGGTGAGGGTGTGCATGGGGGTGTGCATGGGGGTGTGCATGGGGCGGATGTGGACGGGGGGTCATGCACATCAAGGTGGGGGAAGCGGTGGCGGAAGGAGTCCAGCACACGGAAAGAATCTAGCACAAAGGGTGGAGCAGCGGGAGCAGCAGGAGCAACAGGGGCAATTGGCAGGAGAGACGCAGTGGTGAGAGGGAGACGAGCAGCGGGCGCAGCGGCGGCTGTGGGTTCTGAGGCTCCTCGTATGGCAGAGGCTGCTGTGGACGGTTTTTCGAAAGCTGCTGGGTTCTGGCGTGGAGCAGGCAGGGTTGGGAACGGAGGAGAAAGCGAGAGCGCGGGTGATGGTGAGGGTGAGGGTGAAGGCGGAGGGAAATTTGGAGGCACAGGTGGGAGCGGCGGTGGGAGTGGGGGGGTGCGGACGTGGGAAGTGGGAGGTGATGTGATTGGGATGGATGCAGCAGCGGAAGGCGAGCAGCGGAGAGGAGGAGACAGGGTGTGTGCAGGCAGGGATGGTGCTGCTGCTGCTCCTGCTGCTCCTGGTGATGCTGTTGCTGTTGCTGCTGCTGAAGTGGCACTTGGTCAGGCATGGCAGGCATGGTCGGATGATTGTGTCGATGCAGTGGCCATGGCCTGAGTCTTGAGCCATACACCGTTGAACCATGGACTACACGTGTTAGCTGCTTTGGTGCATGCTTCTGAAGCGCACTGTGCAGTGCGGTTGGAATGGGCGTTGGGTGGGAAGAGTCGTGGGATCGTGGTGGTGGGGTTTGAATGGAGCAAGCCCGCTGCCGCTGTTCTATCTTACCTGTCTTGCTCCACTGAGAGATGAGGTACCTTAGTACTGGTACGATACCACCTGAGGGATTGTACCATACTGGGTGCAAGATTGCCGTATGTCCCTACCGCAGGCCCATGTTTGTTTGGCTGCTTTGTGTGTATATATATCTATGTGCCTGAAGTTCCGAACTGGTGGCTTCACTCTCCTCCTTACTCACGTACGTGCAACACAGCTCCCAACCAGTTCGAATGTTCCAATACTGCTCTATTATTTATTTTGTTCCAAAAGCTGTTGCTAATGCTGCAGTTCAAAGCAGCAGAACAGCTTGCAATAAAGAAAGGACTACAGTACCCTGCCTGTTTGGCATCAATAATTTATGTAGAAAGTTGCTATAGTCTAAAAATAATATTATGGCAAAAAAATACCAGCCTATATATTTTCTCAGTGTAAGGCACAGTGCATTCTTGCCATGACCCCTGAAGTTGGGCAAATAAGAGTGTTGACGTGTGAGAGTGAAGTGTGGCGGAGGTCAGAGGATAACCACGCAAGCGAAAATAGGGGTGGGGATTGCCTGGTGGTGCGTGAGGTGAGAATGGGTATGGAGTATGGATTCTATGGATGGTATGGATGCTATGGATGGTATGGATGGGCATGGATGGATGCACGATTCATGCAATACCATGCCATGCCATGCCATGCATTGCCTTGGAATGGAGTACCATCCCTGCTCACCCATGCCGACAAACGTACGAAGTGCTCCACTTAGCGAGTCGAGTCTAATACGATCCTTGGGAGCGCGGC